GGCGCTGCTGACACACCATCACAGGCAGAACAGACTACCAGTGGTATCATTCCTTCATGTGCAGGTGCGACGAGTATTTCCTGCTGCAGCACCGCGGCGAGACTCGCGGGGTGGGGGGGATATTCTTCGATGACCTCAACGAGAGCGGCGACCCCGAGAAGAGCTTGGCCTTCGCCCGTGACGCCCTGCGCTGCTTCGTCGACGGCTATGTGCCGCTGGTTGAGAGGCACAAGGACGACCCCTACACGGACGAACAGAAGGCCTGGCAGCAGCTGAGGCGGGGGCGGTATGTGGAGTTCAACCTCCTCTTCGACAGAGGCACCAAGTTCGGCCTGCAGACTCCCAACTCAAGTCAGCGTCATGATACACACACGGCAAGGAAGGCACCTTTGTGTGTGTGTGCAGGGATAGAGTCGATCTTGATGTCGCTGCCGCTGACGGCTCGTTGGGAGTATCAGCACATCCCGGCGGATGACTCGTGGGAGGGCAGGACCCTCGCCGTCCTCAAGAAGCCCGTCGACTGGATCCCGCTGCAAGGCACACAAGAGGAGAAGGAACAGAGGGAACTCACCACTGCTGCCTCGTGAGAATCAACGACCAGAGAGCAAGTAGATGGGAGCGTGGCGTACGCAAGAGAGTGCACACATGCGAGTAGGTTGCCGTAGCGTTGTTAAGTGTGTTAAGTGGTATGAGTCAGGTGTTTTAAGTTTTTTGACAGGACAGGTGTGGGTGTCATCTCATGCGGATTTTTGACTGAGACGGGACAAATCCATGGGATTCCAGTAGCCAGCCTTACTGAACCAACGTACGTACAGGCACCTGACATGTCTATCCCACATACCATCAAGTCCTCAGTCCCCCATCCCTTGCAAGCAATGTCTCAATCGCAGCCAGACACCCACCCGTCGCACACACCCGCTCCTTATAAGAGACAGGTGCATGCACAGCGTCCATGTAGCCCTCACTGCGCCCAATGTTCTTCCTCAGCAACAGTCAGGTCACATGCTAACACCACTGCACTCACTTAGGTCAGCTGAAAATAGGACATACACAGCACCACAGTCCAGCAGCAAGTCACAGCCAGCACTGATCCCACCAACCCCCAAAGGAAAGTCTCTTTCTTGAGAATCAGCGAAGCTCCCCATCCCTCCCTCCCTCACCCGGACCCCCTTCTTGGGACAACCCTCTCACGTCGCACCCTCGCATCATCCCCAGCTTGCCCCACGGCCGTTCCCACACCAACTGTCTGCTGCTGCTGGCTGGCCTGCGGGATGACGCTCGTGTTGCTGTCATCGCTTTCCTCCTGCTGCTGCCGCTCCGAATGTCTGGCGTCAACCTCTGGCCTCTTCCATATCATGACCTCTCCGCCATCGCTGTCGTCATCAGACACGGTGGGGCCGCCTGAAGTGTCATACCATGACCTGCGACTGGCGGCATCTCTCTCCCCCCATCTGACTGACCCCGTTGTGGCTGAGTGACTCACTCACCGCTGTGACTGTCTCCGTCGTCATCGATCAGCTGGACGCCCAGTGGAGATCGTAAGGGCCCCCGACTTGGCTGTGGCCCGCTCTCACGAGAGCTCAGCTCGTGGCTGCCGAGCACGCTGCCTTGACCGCTGCTGCTGCTGTGTTGACGACCCTCACCTGAGGCGCCACACACAACACGACACAACACACAATCAATGTACATTCATACCTCCCATCTTTCTTCACGAGTGACTCACTCACCGCTGTCGATGCGGAATCGCCTTCCCGCCCCACTCGCGGCCGCTGCTGCATACTCCTCAGGCTGACTGGCGAGAGTCGGCTCGTTGCCCCCGCCGCCACTCTTCCTGCTGCTGGTGGTCCTGGGAGGATGTCCGAAAAACACTCGCTGTAAGTCGAAGCCTGAGCTGACACCGCGGTGGACGATGCGGCCGAGGAAGGGCTGCGGTGGGCGATACTGCTGTGGATGAATCCAGGGTGGCAGCCCACCAACCCCCAGCCCGAGGCTGTCAGCCCCAGCCGCACCACCACGCGTGCCTGCCAGCATACACACACAAACGAGAAGAGAAGCGGTATGTACGTACCCCTCCCCGCCCCCTCATTGTGTATCCATCCTACCTACCTCCATCATCGGCCTCAAACTCGGATGCACCCCCGCTGCTGGGCGTCCTCAGCCCCCCTCCGTCCCACCCACGTCTTGGCGCGAAGGAGGGCCTGAACGTGTCCCCACTGCTGGCCGCCGCGGCTGCCGCCATCTCCGGCTGGACGTGAAGCTTGCTGTAGGGATCAGCACTGTGGCCACTCGGCATCATCTTTTCCGCTGGGATCAGTGGTGGCGGCAGATACGTGCCATGCTCACTCCCCCCACTGCTGGGTGTCCTCATCCCCCCTGCATCCCACCCCCGTCGCAGCGGCAACACAGACGTCCCAGAATCTCCACTGCCAGCCGCCGCTGCTCGTGTTGGACGTAGGATCTTCGGCTGGGCTTGCCGCTGGTGCGCCGTCTCCATGTGAGCAGCACGATGGCCGGTAGGCGTGACGCCGCCGCGCAGGGGCGACATGAGTGCAGGGGGACCCGCGGTAGCAGCAAACTTGCCGCGAAACGCTGATGAGAGTGTGGTGGCGAGAGGCCGAGTGGGCGGGGGTTGTACGAGAGCCAAAGGCCCTTGATCACTGCTGGTGTCTGAGCCTGCAGCAACACATGGATGCCACCAGCATAACAATGATTGGGTTTAAGTCTCGGTCGGTGGCTCACCTGCTGGGCTGAGGGGTCCGCAACTCTCCGGGTGTTGCTCCTGGTGCTCAGGGGCTGGGGATGGCCGGGGACGCGACACACCGACAGAATTGCTGACGTCTCGCACCTCCTGACACAGGCAGAGAAAGGCAGCCACACAGATACTCCGCATTTATTCGGTAACTGTATTTTTCATGGGTGCAACCACGGACTGACCTGCCTCAGCCTTTGAATCATGAGGTGCGCGACCCGCTTCTTCTTATCGGCGGCTGACACTCCTTGGTGGCCAGACACGACGGCATCTCCCTCTGTATTATAAAGCACACACACATGGACACCAACCACATGTGGGAGTCCGTGTGTTCACTCGGCTTGAGAATACCACCCACTCGCTCGCCCACCTGTCTGGGTGTTTCCGTCTTGCATCGCCGCCGGAGCCGCCCCGACCTGTCCAGCGGGGCTCCCCCGAGACGATGGGAAGGAATGACGTCGTGCGACGTCAGGGCACTGGACCTCCTTGTCCACCTTCTCGGGCAGGCCTGAATGGGGGGGGGGGGCATCAAACAATCACACATACATAGGTCCGTACAAGCAAGCGAGGACACATGCGGCCACGCCCTGCCCTGTGGACGAACGTGAGTGAGCGCATACCCCGCCACAAGAGGCCCAGCCTCTCCTTCAGCCTCCGCCACGTCTTCTCTGGCACAAACGAGGCCGCGAGGATGCCTCCCGCCACCAAGGCCTCGCCGACCAACAGCCCGAACGCCATGAGCTACGCCAGAAGGGCTCAGATCTCTGCAAGCTCGCCAAAGTGAAACCCTAGACCCACAAAACCCAACACCGTACACCCAGCGACAGTGAAGGGAGTCAGCGGTATGGGGTTGAGATCTGCTATCTACGACGAGCTTATTCTGTTCATCGACGGGCAGGGCAGCGATGCCAGCGAAATCACGTAGAGATCTTTCTCGATGGGTTCCCTGCTGAGCTGCCGCTGCTTCTTGGCCCTCCTGTTTGGCTCACGTGTGGATGCCTGCAAACCAGCACACAGGTCAGTTTGTCGGAAGCGCCGGCCGCACACAAACAGGCAGAGTGCACACACACCGACATGAATCTCTGTGTGTGTGTGTGCAGCCGTCTGCTGATCCACCATTGTTCATCGGCCCCGCCCCCTTCACTGCGTCGCGGCCGCTCCCACTCGCCTCTGTCCCCCGCCGCCCCTTCGCCACTCACAAGGCCCTCAGTGCCTTCCCCAACGCTCCGACGGCCAGCCCTCGCAGCTCACGACAGGTGCTCGAGAAATGGGTGGAGCTGGTGGAGGGCGGCAGCATCAGCAGAGGACCATTTCCCATCCGTGTCACAGCCGGGACACCCGCCTATATCTTCGTCACGGATATGGTCAAGAAGCACCCCTTTTACCCGGTGAGCTACATGGGCGTTGCAGTCCACACCCTCGAGGAGCGCACCGTCGACGTTGGCCTGCCCGTCAGTGAGGGGTTCGCCGGCAAGGGCGACAGCTCCTTCGAGCCCATTCGCCTTATCGTCCAACGGCCGCCGAGTGAGTGAGTGAGCGATGGAGGAGCAAGGCAGCCAGAGCGGGATGGAGGGAGGGAGGAGTGCATCGCTTGCTGACCCGCCCACGGCTGTGCAGCATGGATGTGTGCGCCACGCCTTTAGGTAGCGAGCGGCCCCGATTCGTCGGCCTCCCCCTCGGCTTTCCCTTTGGGCCTGTATACTTCTAGATGGCAGTTTCCATGGGTGGGTGACCGACACACTCGCACACAGAGAACTGGGCTGCTCCTGGCTGGCTGGTCATCCGTCTGTTGTGTGTTTGTGCCTTCAGGTGGCCATTGTTGCGGTGGATGCAGTGGATGTGCTGTCTGTCTGCAGTGGACGTTTGTTTGGTTCGACTGATGGACATAGTAGACGCATGTCAGTGGGTTGGTTGTATGTGAGACCTTTCTACGCATTGTTCAGAAAAGAGCCAGCCAGCCAGTCGCCCATCCATGAGAAAAGCACCATGACATCCGACGGTGGTATCGATATTATCTCTCGCTGCACCACCACCGTCACCAAAGGCCCGAGCTGTGGTGGGCCGTTGAGTGACGACAAACCACAGCGATGACATCGAGCAAATCACAGCCACACGCCGACTATTCACAGAAGACAGAAATCATAGCACACAGTCAAGCCATCCAGACTAGACTGCAGCAGGAGACGAAAGGAGAAGATTCTGACGCATCACATGATTTCGTGGGTCAGCACCTCCCCACCTTATAAGCCACCCTCTCACACACGCCTAGTCACTCCTTCAGCCCCTCCACCATCTGATCTGCATCCTCCTCCCTCAGCTTCTGCATCTTCTTCTCCTGAGTGCGCGCCTTCCTGTTCTCGCCGTAGACAGAGGGGGGCTCGTTAGCCACCATATGGCGGCGTTAGGAAGTCTGCTGCTGGTCGAGTGTCTGGAAGCGCATGAAGAAGAGCTGCTCGTGCACGTTGAAGCAGTACTCCTCGTACTCGGGCACGTACTCGGCCAAGTGCACGACAAACTGCATCCATCCACCAACACAGACACACAAACCATAAGATGCACATTTGGATGGGCACATGGATGGATTGGGCGTACCAGGTTGATCTCTTTGTAGAGGTTCTGGTTGGCGACGTCGCCAACCGTGTCTGCCTCGATGCGCAGCGTCTCGAGGACGGGATGATAGATGGCCATGAGGCCGGCGAAGATGTCCTACAGCATCCCTCGCTCTGCCATGTGGGCCTCGAGTATCTTCAGCTGACCGCCAATCATCTCATCGAGCTGCATGCCATGCAGACAGAGTGCACACACATCGATGGACATCCCGCCTCTGTCTATCTTGGGTTTGTTCTTGCTGACCCTGACGATTCTGTATATCTTGTCTTTGTATGCCTCGCTCTGCTGGAAGGCGTCGGGGATCTTGGCGATGCTCACGTCGCTGGCCGCCTCGATCAGGTATCGATTGACGGTGTTGCTCAGAATGCCGCAGGCGCGTGCAAGTGTGGCGAAGTTGCGGTCCAGCTCACACTCGTCTGCAAATATGTGAGCTGGGCTGTGGCACAGGTCTCGCAAAAACTCCCAGATGGCCTTGGGGTCGTTGTCGAAGTATTGCCTGGGCATGTACAGCGGCGGACGGGAGAAGGTGATCTTCGTCCGCCCTTGCGGCAGCGTCGACACATGGTACGTCAACTGAGTGCTGTAACCTGACACACACACACATACACACACACACATTAACTGGTGGAAACACACACATCGTCATTGCCCGCTTCCTGGCTGACCAGCAGTCTTGATGAGGATGTCCATGAGTTCTGGGAAGCCAAAGCGCTGGGAAATGCTCACTTTGCCGAGTGGCCGTCGCTTGGCGGTCTCGATGAGGACCAATCCCTTGGAGACAGGTGTGGCCGAGCTGCTGGCGCCGAAACACACACATGCGCATGCCACAAACAACACAGAAGTGATACAGAGAACACCAAGGGCGTGTGATGGATGGTCTTACGGCTGCTGCTGCGGTGGGGGCGGCATGTTGGACGGCGTGCTGGGCGGCTGAGGCGAGTGACTGGGGCCGGGCCCATCGCCAGTGAAGCGATGGCTGATCAAGGTCAACACACCCAGACACACAAGAGAGGAAATAGCCGATGGTGCATGAGTCTGCCTGCTCCCTGCCTTTCTCTCTTGCTGACCTCTGATCCTCCACGGTGGCAGCCTGCCCGTCAAGCACCGCCTGCATTTTCTGCTCGGTGAGGCCCCCTCGCGCCTCGTCACGCCTGCCCCCATCCGCCTCGTACTGCAGTCGTCTCGACTGGTCGCTGGCAAACTTCTCGAGGTCGATGCCGATGCTGCGCGCGACACGGGGGCCGCGGAGCCTCACACGTCCCTTGCGGAAGCCGTACACCGACACCTTGTCCTTGAAGTTGGGGAACCTCTCCGCCGTGATGACGAACGTGGTCTGTGGGCACGCAAGACACACATAGGAAACACACATACACACGTGCATGCCTGCCTGGCTGCCTGTGCATGTCTGTGCATGTCTGTGTTGGTACTGTACCTCTCCTTGGTTCTCGGCCTTTTTTGCCTCGGTCTCATAGCACCGCCAGCAGACGACACCGGCAGGGCGGCGCTTGGTTTGCGTGGTGATCTGGGTGTCGGGCAGGCCGGTGGCGATCGACGCACCGCACAGCTCGCACAGGGGCGGCAGGAGGCGGGTCTCCTTCTCGGGAATGAGGTCGGTGATGGCGAAGGCCTCACACTTCGGCTTGGCCTCACACTTGAGCTGCTGGGCACACACACGGACGGACATGGGCTGCGTGTGATGTGATGTGATGTGATGTGATGTGCTGCGCTGTGCTGTGCTGTGCTGTGTGTTGTGTGTGGTAGTACCTCCCCTTCGCCTGTGGATTCGCGCGCTCTGGCGTCGCGCGCCACAATGATGTCCATCGCACACCAGTAACATATGATCTGGCACCACGTCCAAGACACAAACACAGAGAGAGGCGACTCTGGTGTGTGTGCAGGTGTCTGTGCGTCATAGTCAACAGACTCACCTCGCCGCAGCAGAGCTTCTTGAGCAGGGATGGGCTTTTGCGGCACATGCAGCATGGTTCGTCGGCCAGCGGGAGCCCCGAACACGCTGCGCACTGATATGAGTTGTCAGTGCTGGCGAACTGCACGCATCCACAGACGTCTGCCTTTGTGTGTGGTGCGCTATGATGTGTGTGGGTATTACCCCTGGATGGCGTTTGAGCCAGTCGTTCTTGAGCTCTTCACACTCGTGGCACACTCGGCAGAAACAGCTGTAGTCCGTCGTCTTGATATCCGTCTGCCACACGCAAACAAAGCAGACAGAACCATCCATCCATCCATCCATGGTCGCTGTGTGCCTGTCTGTGTGCCTTGTCTGCGGGCTCTTGCTTACATGGATCTTCATCTTCTTCAGGTAGTAGCACTTCGAACACATGCAGTCCGCGTCCATCTCATGGCCATCTTGGCCCGTCACGAACTGGATCAACCTCTGCCCCACTGTCGGGCTGCGACACGCACACAAGCGAGAGACTGTCTGCCCCCCCGTGTGTGTGTGAGCGCGTGTGTGGATCACTCACTTGAGGAGCAGGTCGGCGTGCTCTGTGCCGAGTGGGCTGCCTGGCTTGCTGGGGATCTGTTTGCGGGCGATCTCTATGGCGTAGCCTTTGAGGGCGGCCTTGGCTGCGTTGAACTGGTGCGGGTCAGGCGGATAGAGGATCTCACCGTGTGTGGTGCCCGATTCCGACAAGTCCTGACACACACACACACACACACACGGATCAAGAAAATGAATGCGTTGTCTGCCTGTGTTGAGTCACTTACGAAGTTCCAGATGCGAACAGGGATGTCGAAGAGCCGGCACACGACGAACGACACCACCGCAACGTCAGCGTACTCATCTGTGGGCCATGCCAAACACAACAGACGGACACTTTCTGCTCTTCCCCGCCTCCCTCCCTCCCTCCTTCCCTCATTCCATCCCCTGCTTACGTCTCTTCTCGACGACATCTCTTGCGTATCTACTGATGACCTCGTCAGCGCTCAGGGCGGCGACCTCCGCCTTCGCTGCCAAATACACACACACACACGCGCGCGCGCGCGTGCACGAGTGCAGAGCTGCGGAGCGGTCGGCCACGTACCCATCGGCTCTGCCACTGTCCTGTGGAAGTTGTCGATGATGGATTGGTTGATGGATTCGTTGACGTTCTTGATCTCCTCTTTGCTCGGGTCTGACGGGAACGCAGACGACAATTTTTCCCGGATCGCCTCGACTGAGGAGGAAACACACACACACACACACATCACACAGCGAACGAATACACTCGATTCTCCCTGCCTCCCTGCCTCTTTCTTTCGTGCGACTCATCTGGCGGTGGTGCCTTACCGTCTTCTGTTGCCTTTTTTTTGGCTTCTGCCGCTCTTGTCGAAGTCGCCCTGTCAGATTCACCTGACAAACAGAGAGAGAGAGAGATCGAACCCAATGCTCCGTCCCTCCTTTGTCTTCCCCTGCCCTGCCCCGCTAGATGTGGTGTTGTCTTTGTCTTCCTTACCGGTCGTCGTGAAGATCTCATCTGTGCTCTGCAGCTCCATCTCAGACTCTGAGGAAGCCCATACACAAACACACATCCCTCCTTGCCTCCCCCTCTGCTGTTCCCGCACCGTATTTTTCCGCGAGTTTCTTTTTGAACATCTGGATAATCCCCTTTCTGTCCGTCAGGACGCGAATGTCAGCCATGTAGTTGGCCTCGATGCTGCTCTCGAGGTTCATCTTGACCATGTCGAGTAGGGTCAGGCGGGCCTCGATGGGCTCGTCCTTGAAGAGGTGCAGGCCGATCGCTATGAGCTTGCGGAGGCCCCGAACTGAAACACAAGGTGGCACATCAAGACAAATTGACAGGAATGCGCCCTCTCCCATCCATCCATCCATCCCTCCATCCCCCCACCCATACCTGAACGGTCCTGGAAGTCGGGACCTGTCATGTATGTGATGTGGGCAGCCGCCTGGGCCTCCTCCTCTGCCTGGCGATCATCCTTCGCGTCGAGCATCGTGCGGAGGGCCGCACAGCCGACCTCGTCAGCCTCCTTGAGACAGTCCCGCACCTCGGTGCTGAGCCTGTTGAAGATCGAGACGGGCTCGCTGTCGGGTGTCAGGCTCATGAGATAGACGCGCGCGCCAAACAGGCTGGACAGGGATGCTACGTACACGCAGCTGCCACTGCCGAAGATCTGGCAGAAGTGCTCTGTGGAGGTCTCTGTCTTGACGCGGTCGATGAGTGTCTGCAGATTGCGCTTGGCCTTAGCTTTCGCATCTCGGCCAATCCCCTCGTGCTCGTCGATTCGTTTGACCAGCATGGTGTGGTACTCCTGCAAATCCTTCGGCCCTGCCATGGCATACTTGAGCGGGAGGTCGATGTCATCGGGTGGCGCAGAGGCGCCGCCCAGAGCAGAGCCCAGAGCAGAGGTCGATGGAAGAGCCGCGTGTCTCGGAGACCCTGGGGCCCCACGGTCGTCCCGCTCCCTCTCGACCCTCTCCCGACCCACCTGCTGGTGCTGCCCCCCCGGTGGCGATGACTGACGGCTGTCGGAAGCCGACAGAGATGGGACCGCCGCGGCCTGACCCGCATCAGCAGGAAGCGGGTCAGGCCGTGCGGGGTAAGGCGGCTGCTCCCCGGGCGTCGGCAGGATGACTGGAGGGGGAAAGGGACCGCAACCTCTCGCCTCGTCCGTCGGCGCCTTCTGCCGCTGCTGCTGCTGCTGCTGCTGGGCTCTGACCTGGGCCGGTGGAACCTCAGGGCTGCCTGCATGTGGTCTGGCGTGAACCCCACCGCCCAGCACAAAGCCATCGACAGCAGGCCCCACAGCAATCTCCTGTTGCGGACGCTGCTGCTGTTGCTGCACAGACGGGTGGAAGGCCGCCATGGGGTGGCCAGCAGGGGGGCCATCGGCGGTGGAGTGGGCCTCTAGCTGCAGATCCGACGCCGACTGATTCTGGGCCGGTGACGGGCCATGCAGCAGAGGCGCGTTTGCGATGCGTTTCTTCGTGTTGACTCCTCCAGAGTCCCCACTGTGGGACCACTGGGTGATGAGTGTGGCGTCGGAGCCAAAGTTCTGCTTGACGCCACGACCAGCGAGCTGCTGCCCTTGGATCTGAGCCTGGCCTTGCGGCTGGGGAAGTTGTTGCTGCTGCTGCCACACGTCCGCCTGCTCCTGCTGTTGGTGGGGCTGTGGCTGGGGTTGTTGCTGCTGCTGCATGGCCATGTCGCCTCCCTGCGGCTGTTGCTGCTGCTGTTGTTGTTGCTGCTGCTGGACTGCCATGCCCTGGCTGGCGATGCCTTGCATCGCAACGTGGTGAGGCCATGTGGGGAAGCCGGCGTGACCGAACGCACCGGCCTGCTGGATGGCAGGAGCGGCCACGGGGCTCGCCTGCGATGAGTCGATGGACATGCTGCCGTCGGGGGGCTGCATCTGGTTGGGCAATGCCATGCCGCCTGCAGCAGATGGGTCCTGGAGGGGGTAGTCGTTGGAGGCATGGGGTGTGGGGGACGACATGGTCGCCTGGGAGCCGTCACCATTCTGACTATGCGCGTACTGCATACCTGATAGATAGGCACAACGCAACACATACATACACAGCACAACACACACACGGTGTGGGTGTGTGGTGCGCTTCCCTCCCTCCCTCCCTTCCTCCCTCCCGTTTGTCGATCTGTCTCTCTGTCTGTCTGGTTCATCCATTGCTCACCCTGCATCGATCCATTGATCAATTCGCCCATCTGCTGGAGAACAACGCCACCGCCGCCCACCCCCTCGCACACCCCAGCTAACGGAGCAGCGTCGGCATTCAGACCGCTTGCGCTCGCACTCGCCCCTCCCCCAACCTGAGCATGACCTCCGCCCTGCTGCTGCTGTTGGGGCTGCTGGTCGGGGGGCGACGGAGCGAAACCAGGCACCTGCTGCTGCTGGGCCTCTGCCGGCTCGTCGAAATCAAACATCGGTCCTTCGAAGTCAGGCGGACTGCGCGGCTGCGGAGTGGGCGGCCCCTCACAGGACGACTCGGGCGACTCGGGCAACTCCTGGGACCCATGAGCGTGTGTGTACCGCTCCTGGGGCGGTGGAAGGGGCGGCTGCCCGAACGGCGGTGGGACCTGCGATAGGGGTGGCGGCTGAGACTGACGGACGGCCCCATCTCCCGGGCTGCGATGCTGCTCGGGCCGGCGGGGGTAGGGCGACCCGGGGGGCGGCTGCTGGTGCTGCTGCTGGCCCATCCTCATCTGCGAGCCACCGTGCTGCAGCCCCTGCATGTGCTGCTGCTGCTGGAAGGGCTGGCTCTGCGGGAAGCCCTTGGTAGGATGGTTGCCGGAGACGGGCGGGCGATAGCCCGCCTCGTGGGATGACTGGGAGCCATGTCCTGACCGGCCGCCGCCTGGTAGATTGATGGGGCTATGACCACTGTCGCCCTGCCACCCCGGGTAGTGCGGAGAATGGTGCATCCCTTGCTGCTTCATGGGCAGCACACGACCTTCCGGCCCGTTCGGCCGTCCCTGTCCCATGCCGGGCGGCCCAAAGCCCCGGCCTCTCGGTGGGGGAAAGCCACCTCTCGGTATCGAGAAGGGGAGGCGGGGAGGCAGGAATGGACGCACGGCCCTCTGCTCGTGACCTGCATGCACAGAAGGACAGACCGCCAACCATAATATGGATGTCATGTAGGTGAGGTGCATGAGAATGAGCATGAGTGAGTGGGGACGCCCCATCCCACCCCACTCACCTGCGTCGTCATCCTCCATCATGCCTGTCCACTTCCTGAGGCCACCTGTGGCCTGCTCCTGCTGCTGTGACGGCCGGCCGCCCTCTCCACTGGTGTGCTCCCCTTCTCTGTTGAACGGCATGCCCTGGTGATGTGATGGGTGGCGGGGTGTGGTGAGGGGACGGTGTGGTGGCGGCGGGTGGAACGCACGATCGCCAGACAGATGGGAGGATGACGGGCCCCTGTCACATATATAGGATGATGGTGCGTCTGTATATGTGTATGTGTATGTGTGTGCCCGTACCTGTCCCTCTCGCTGCCCCAGAGTGGCTGCCCGCCGTAGGAATCGGAACCCTGGGAAGCTGCACACATCACACCACCATCCATCCACACAGACGATGGATGTATCCCCTCCCCTGCCTGACTGACTGAGCACTCTTGAGTGTGGTTGCGTACCGGTGTAATTGTGTATGTGCGGTCTCAGCGGTGCAGGTGTGCGCCCTCCCCCTGAGAACGGTGCAGGCCGGTGATGGCCATCACGACCACCTGACACACGCACAAGGCACACACACACGCAGGGCGAAGACAGCCACACACCACGTCAGTTGGCTGACGCACGAACAGCAGTCGCGTGTGTCACTGACTGACCAAGGAATGTTTGCTGATGGTTCTTGTCTTGCGATGAGTCTTGCTGAAAGCCCTCGACGCGACGCATCCTGACACACAAGACACAAGCCGACACACAGACATGAGAAGGGCGGACAGGTTGCCTCCACCCAGCCATGGACACCACTCATGACAGTTTGTGCTGCGTGCTGTGCCTGTCTGTCCCCCTCAGTCTCTGGTGGGTGTTGCCTTGCGATGTGCATGGCAGTGATGCGCACATGCCGACACCTCCCTGGCCCGTCTGCCTGGTCTGTGTGCACTCGCCCACCCTCGGACCTGGGTCCCTTCTCATCGGTCTGGCTGCCTGACCTCCTCTGTGAGTGTGTGTGTATGGTCTCATCCCACTTACTCTCTGGTAGGATCTGCGCGGTCCTCGGGCAGGACACGATGGTGCCGGGTCCCTTGCTTCCTCGCGTGACTGGATTCTCGCTTCTCGTCTATTCCTGCGAATGCAACTGCTCCAACAATGGAAAAGAGTACCCGGAGGGACCTGCGAGCTCCCTGGAGTGCGAGCTTAGAAGAAGAAGTGGACAAACAAAGGCAAGGACGGCGGATGAGCGATCCGTCATCCGTCGCAGAAGATCCGATGGGTATTATTCTTGGGTCGCTTCATTTCTTGGCCGTGCGGTCCGTATGAGAGGCTATTCAGTGCGCAGCAATGGACTGGCTGGACAAGCTGAGCGGCATCGGAGGAAGGGCCTCAAGAGTGAGCCGCGTATGCACAGCATGCAGATCCTGCATGTCACATCTGCGTATGGGTGTATTGTATTGTGTGGCAGAGCTTAAGGACTTCCTGGACGATCCGCAGCGCATCCTGATGATTGAGGGGGCCGAGGACATGACGGATATCTGGACAGATTGTGAGCCACCAACCACACACACACGACTTGATCCCATCGCCATGCGCTCGACCGTCACCTCTCTGTGTTGTGTGCGTGTGTGTGGGTGTGGGTGTGAGTGGGTGTTCCGCTCGCAGTCTGGCTGAGTTCAAGAGAAGAGTGAGTGTGCAGCTAGGAGGCTAATGAGATGCAATGCGCACCTGTCTTTGTCTGTGGTCAGTATGCCATGAGGAAGAGGCGAAAGGCTATGCCCGCCAGCCAGCCAGCCATCCGTCTGTGTGTGTGTATAGGTACCGACGTTTACTGATGTGAGCTGACAATGGAGCTGATAGACATCTGAACTGAGGCGGCAGCGGGACGACCTGCCTGATGACTGAGAGGTCGGACAGATCAGACAGATGCACATGCATCTGACGGCACATGCACAAGTTCATCGTCGGGCCGGCAGCCAACTACTCATTATGTGGTGACTGTCGGATAGACAGACACATGGAGGGGCGAAGTGGCGGACGGTATGGCTTTGTGCATACACAAGGGGCTTTGTGGAGCAGTCAGGCGAACGCGCCTTTCTCTGCGAGACACTTTGGTCAAGTCGGTGTGAGGGAGCTTGGTAAAGGCCTGCATTTCAAGGACTGATTGAGAGAAGCTGTTCATATATGTCTTCACATGGACTCTCTCGCATCATGATGGATTGACTGAATAAGCTGCTCAGTGCATTGATTTCACACACTGACACCGACGAGGGATATACAATGAAGGCAGCGACGCATCCGCGACGGCATCTCATGCATCGGTTGCCGGCGGTGTTTGACGGTGAATGTGGATGACAGAGGGAGGGGGGGAAGGGCAAGTTCGTGCGTTTTTTCACTGCTGGTCAAGGCTCGATTTTGGAGAGTTAGACCCGATTTTTGCCATTCACTCATGTGAGCGTGATGCGAGCGTGCTCTGGCTTAATTCGGAGGGAGCTGTCAAAGCTGATGCGATGCGTGTGGTGGCGTGTATGTGTTTGCGTGTGGACTGATTAACGCTGCGTGTGACTGCTCATGTGACTGCTCAGGGCAGGGTGCGGTGAGTGGTGGTTTTGAAGGTGTGTCTGTCCGTGTTGGCACGTGCGCGTGCTGTGAGACGAGCACTGGCAAGACTTCGAATGAAAAATCGGATTCACGGCGCATCCAAGACATAGGCAGCACGCACCATTGATTCATGGCTTGGGTGAGCGTTATCAGTGTCTCATATAGCGACAAACATGCCAGCCATATGCCAACATAGCCGTCACCCACCCATCACACTTACACCACTTCTGGTCCACTGACTTCCTTCATCTCTTTCGCTTCCCATGTCCACCCGTGGGGGATTGCGATTCGTCCCTCTCTCACGCCCTCCACATACTGTGAGATGCACGCCCTTAGCTGCGACTGGCGTACAATGGCCCTGTGCTCCTCTCTCCCCTCAAATTCGTAGTCGTCATCCTCGTCTTCGTCCGTTGGCTCTGCCGACGCCCTCATATGAGGCTCGCGTCCTCGGAGGTACTGCGTCAGCTGGTTGGCTGCCTCGTGGACCGAAACGAATATCTCTTGAATATGTCGCTCCTTGCTCAGCGCCCTCAGCCAACATCCCTCTCCATCCATCAGCAGCCCGAGAATGGGCTGATCAGTCCTCTGATGTTGCCTAGTCATAAGTAGCTGTCCACATAGTTGAGCTGAGAAGTTGCCGCTCTTCTCCATCTTCGCTGTCTTGCTCTTGGCTTCAATCACCACCTCAGTGATCTGCAGAGCGGTCGGCAGGCTAAGTTTGAGCTCGTGTTTCCCACTCTCCCCAATCTTCACATAGCGGTCCGGCAGAATGATGATATCGCCAGGCGAGCCCGATAGGTCACAAGACATGTCCTCGTCGCCTTTCAGCTCGTCTCGCTGATCTTGGACATCCGCCCACGCCCATTTGCCTGGTGGGACGTGACTGAGGACTGCCGGAAGAATCTTGTCGGTAACGAGCTTCAACACGGCGTTATGGTCTGCATCGCCCGCAGGTTTGGTGAATGAATGCTCGTTGAACGGCTCTGTCGGCAGGTCTTCTCTCCACGGTGTGATGCTGAGGCCGAGATCGGACGGCTTGCGATAGAGTTCGGACGGCATTTTACTCAGTTCGTACATAGGGCGCTGCACATGTCAACGCAACACCGTCTCTCTCTCTCTCTCTCTCTCTCTCTCTGTGTGTGTGTTTGTACGTGTGCATACCTCTTTCGGAAATCTGTAGACGATGGGCATGTCTTGAGAGTCGCCGCGTCCGGCTAGTGCGTCCGTCACCGAGGCGTCGAGGTTCACCTCCATAACCTTCCCATCGCCGTCGACCAGCTCCAAGTCTTGAGCACGGACCAGAGTGCCAGCGATTTCTCTTTTCAGCTCCATGACAATGCTGTCCCTGGGAATCCTGACGGGGGTAGCGGTCGACCTCTCCTCTTGCTTGACATACTTGGTCAGCCTCTCCGTTGCGGCTGCGGCGGCAGAAGAGCCACTGCGCTTCGACATCGGACGATGGTGGGGTGGTAGGGTGTAAAACCCTGCACGCTTGACCCTAACGAGTGAGTTGTCATGGCATCGAGCAGATTTATCAGGGCGCGGAGGCTCAGGTACGTCACACAGAAGGCACGGCGACACGGATCTCCCAACTATTGATGTTGCCTTCTTCGGAGCTGCAGATCACGATGGCACAGGAGGGAGGTGGGCCTCGACAGCTGCTCGTAGAAGAGGTACACAAACGCCTGGAGTGGCCTTGACCTGTCGTCTCTCTGCTGCGTGCCATTCATCGCCGCCGTCCCATGCACAGGTCTTTCATTCATTGGGAGCTCTCGCTGACGGCGGCCAAGGGCCACAACAGGGCCACAACAGGCGCCACACATCGACATCATGCATACATTGCGCCACAGAGTATGACACACGAACAGATGCTGACATACACAGCATGGCGTGGCGCAATTGGTACGTCTGTGTGTCGTCAGCGTCACACCAGTGAGTGGGGCAACCGTCAAGAGAGGCAACAAGCCACCGCCGTCCGTAGAGCACCGGTAGGCTTCAGCGGGGATTGATCCACTCTCCTTCTGTGCGTGGATCAGGAACAACAAAACCGGAGGGTACGCACACGCACGCAGTAGTGGGATTTACTTGACCTCCCCCTTCGTGTGTCGATCAGGGCGTGTGTTGGCTGCCCACGGCTGCAAGGCACTATCAGCAATTGAGGTCGGTGTCCCTCCCACTATACCAACACCCGACCCCGCTCTGCTCCGCCACCTCTCGCCCGAGGCGGATCCCATCTCTCGGGATGCAGGGCGGCGGCTCCGCGTTGAGGGCTGCGTGCTATTTGGCCAAGTTGATGCCGCAGGTGAACGAGGTGGGGGTCTACTACTCGGCGCCTGCTGGCGAGGTGTTGGGGCTGCTGAAGGCGGTCGGTTCAGGGAGAAAGCTGGCGCGTGTGCACTTGTATGTCGATGAGCTGGGAGAGGGCGAGGCCGGACTGCAGTGGGGAGACGAATGGGATTTGCTGCCGGAGATCCATCACCTGGAAGTCTTCATCGAGGAAGGCGGTATGTATGTGTGTGTGTGTATGTATGTATGTGTCGGGCCGCATCCAATGGGCTGTTTGTTTCTCCCTTACCTACAGGTCGGGGAGCAGCTGCTGGTGATTCGTGGCGCCATCCAGCAGCTGCTCCCCGACCTCGGCACAGAGGTCGGCGACAACTTCAGCATCGACACGGATGACATGTCAGACGGCATGATCCTGACTGCAACGCGTCGCTCTTAGAGGGTGAGGCGGGAAGAGGCAGCCCCATGCGTCCATCGCCCTCATACTGTGTGTGTTGTTGTGTTCCAGGCTGTGTGTCTATGCAGCCATGAGACAACAACACCGTACCTATCGTGTTTGTACGTATGTGTCGCATGGCTACTTGGCGGATGGATGGATGGAGACCTCGTATGTCTGTCTCTTAGAGACGTGCTCTCTCCTTCCCGGCCGCCCACCTCACTCTCTCTCCCTCTCTCTGTCTCTCTCTGTGGGTCGAGGGTGGGGTGTTGAGGAATGGTACGCAGAGGGCACACAGGGCACACAGCCGACAAGCCAAGCCACGTAGCACAGACAGACAGACAGATGCATGCTGGCCCGCTGTGTTGACTCTGTTTGCTGGGTGGAGATCGTTCTTGGCGACGGTGTGCAGGTGCACAGCTGCACCTCTGGGCCATCGATCAGCCATGAACTCACCAAACAAAGGGTCGTGCTGTGTGTGTGTCAGTGTGAGGTGTGTGGGTGGACGCTTCTCGACTGCGTGTGTCAACAGAGACTGCATAGCCGTGAGATAATGGATGGCTGGATGACGCGATGAATGGCTTCGCGATGGAACTTCACACAGCTTCACACTAACACAGAGACCGACGCACACACACGCAGACACAGATGGAAGTCAGCCAGTCGATAAACGGGTCCATCAGTCCACCCACGAGCCACGTGCGGACGCTCAGACACAGACACGCACTAAGGGACATGGCAGCAGCTTGAGTGGGGGTGGGGGCACACCAAGCGCAACCTACCTGCCTCTTGATGTGAGGGTTGATGTTTGTATTGTGCCCCGTGTGTGTGTGTGTGTGTGTGTGTGGTGGGATGGGCCGCGTCAGCCGGCACACAGCAGCAACCATTCAGACACCCCGCCCGCCAGGCAGTCAGCAGTAAAGCTGCGTAACGTGGTGTCTTCATGTGTGCGCTCGGGCAGACAGCCCGACGAGCCACCCACACGCCCACACACGCCCACACGCCCACACACACACACACACACACGCACCAGCATGGCAGCGATAGGCAGCCCTTCAGCACCACCAACACACAATCACAACCCCGATGATAGCATACGTGTGACACAACTGCTCAAGCAGTTGCCGACCAGAGGGGCGGCGGAATGACTGAGGCGCACACTTGTCCACCGCAGTCATGGGCAAAGACAGCCGCCAGGTATACAATGGCATACCAGGTCTCCGTCCATCCATCCGTTACACCCTCCCTCCCTCCCTCTCTTTCTACGGGGTGTGAGTGCTACGGTAGGATGCTGTTGTGTCATGTCGTATGCTCTCGACACACAGCCTGGAAAACACATCAACACACACACGTTATGTGAAGGCAATGATTCATTGCTCTGCCTGTTCTCACCCTCTAAGAGCGACGAGTTACGTCCAGGCGAATGAAGACGGTGCGGTGACTTGTGGTGGTGGTGAAGTTGTCACCGACCTCTGTGCCGTCTGGAAGCAGCAGCGCAATGGCGCCGCGAACGGCTTTACCGCACCGCAATGTCAGCGTCAAACGCCTTAGGCCTCGGACGCCACCCACGATTGATGAGACGCCGTCGCGGATGAGCTCGGCAGCCGCAGAGGCCTCCAAACCATCGGGCACTGAATGACAGCACACAGACGGCAGCAATGCACACATAAAATGAGCCAGCCAGAAGTGTTTATTGGAATCCATTGGGTAGCTGACAGATGCATGACTAGGTTGTGAATCGATGGGCAGCAGTCCGATTGCCAGCCGTCCAATGCGCCCTCAGCGAGACTGACCTCATCGACCTCGACAGTGTCGACCTCCCTCCTCGCCCCCACCGCCTCCAACACGGCCCTTCTGTCCTCTCCACTCACAGCTGAGTTGAACTCCAACCACTCGACCACCCTGGGCATCTTCTCTGCCATCAGCCGACCCGCAGCACTGCCCACACCGCTGTTGACCTCCAAGCATGTGGCCCTTGGGAACTGCTGCAGGTGTGTGATGATGGTGGGCTGCGGTGAGGGGGCGTTGGGAGGGGGGATGAAGCCATCGGCGTCGTTGACCCACACGTCCTCCACCTTGTCGAATGTGAGTGTCTTGGCGAGGTCGATGGCCGCCTGGCTGGGGCTGTCGACGGGGTGGGTGAGGTCATGCTGGCTGATGACATACCTCACCTCGTCTACCTTCCGTGCGGCCGCCTGGATGGCCGTCTTGAAGAGGGGGGAGGGGTTGGTGGGAAAATCGTCGCTGTAGAAGAACGACAGGTCGAAAAAGTAAGCATCAAGGTACTCGACGGCGACTTCGGCTTCGGGTCGGCAGCACGTGTTGTGTAGCGAGTCGAGGGACTGCAACAGGGGAAGGACACGACTGTCGATGATCCAATCGCTCATCGACACCACCAGCTGAGTGAGCGACCGGCGGCAGCCACGTGACGTGAGCGCCACCTACAGCACACACCCATGGTGAGATCACCGTTAACACCTCGCTGACACGTGCATCCATTGGTGGTAAGTTACCTGCAGTCTGTCCACCGCTGCCCGCGCCCGGTCAGCATCGAAGCCCAGATCGATAGTGCCGATACTCCGCAGACCTGCAAGGGGCCCCCGCTGCCCAGCAGCTGCCTCGGGCATGCGCTCGAACACACTGGCCCACTCCTCGGCCGCCGGCAGATCCCCACAAATGAGCTGCAGCGACTCTGACGAGCAGATGAGGCGGCCCAGCTTATCGGCCCCCCACCGGTGATGCTCCACTGTCTCGAGTGACGGCATCCGCCAGCCTCTGTCAGCCAGGTCGTGATGATCGTCGAGGAGGCCAGTGATGGTCGTGAGTGCATCAAGGGATGGAGGCGGGACGAGAGGCGGGATCTGGTCAGGGGGTAGCTGCTGTGGTCGGCCGACGGTACTCATCTCCCTCTCAGCCAATCTCACGCCTTCCAATGTGATGGTGCGCAGGGTGCCGCCATTCATATTGGCAGCCCGCCGGCCGGCAACATGGCCCTCGATCACGGTGATAAAGACGTCGATGCACCACAGAGCCGCGCCGACGGGATAGCGCAACGTAATTGTCGTCAGCCGAGTGAGTTTGTTGGCCCATTGGGTGCCGAGAGCGAGAGGGACCCGCTGCCACACCGACCGCTCGTTGCTGTTGGTGCTGTCGATGGTGAGGTGGCTGTGTGTGGGCGCTGTGGGGTCCCAGGCCGTGGTCGACAGCAGGCCGAGCAGATACAGGGGCAGAAAGGCCGTGATGCAGTTGACAAGACCAGGCTGCACAAAGGCAAAGACACACAGAAGAGCGACAGCGAGTGAGTCAGTGCTTCATTCAGCCTGTCTGAGTCATTTGCTCTACCGTGTCTGCGATGGTTTGCCTGAGTTTCCTCTCCCTCTCTGGGCGTCGCTGATCCTCATCGCTTGCAGCAGCGGCAGATGTGGCCTGTTATCTCACACACACACAGAAGAGTGAACGATGAGCTGACATCACCATGACCCCCTTCATGGCTGCAGCCTCACCTGACGGCCGTCATCTCCAGCAGCAGCAGTGTCAGACATCCTCCGTCACCGAGTGAAGCAAGCAGCAGACTTCACTCTTGTGTTACTGATGGATGGGAGATGCGGTCGTTTCTGTCTGCTGCCCACCTGCAGCACACACGCCATCCGTCAAGCCACGAGTCGCGCGTGTGTGCGTGTCCATGAGGGGGTCATCCACCCATCCATCCATCGCCATGGCTTACCGGCGAGAGGCCCTCTTGGCTGAGGCTGCTGATCGAAATGCGCTAATCACAGCACTCACGCATGCTCACGAGCACAACGGTTTCTCAATCACGCGATAGCGGCCCTCCGCCAAAGCAAATGCAATCGTCGGGTCAAGGGTTTATGGGGTGCAGGGTTATGGGCTGCAGGGTTACGGGCTGCAGGGTTTGCTGAGATCTCTCTGAGGCCCATCAATCATCACTCAACTCCCCCTGCCACGCACAGCCGGCTGTGGTAAGCGCTGGATGAACCCCACAGAAAGGGATGGAATGCGCTTGACATGAAGGCAACGGTGGATGCTCTTCTGTTCATTGACCTTGTACAGATCTGAGACAGACTGCGTCCGTGGGTCGTCGCTATCGTGCGATTGGAGATCGGCAAGGTGACAACACAGGCGCGCACAGATCTCCTGTGATTGTGAGTGAGTGGACCTGGTGAGTGCACGTGGTTTTCCCCCGTTGGTTGTGTGTGACATCAGACCGAGTGAGCGTTCGGAGAGGCGTTGCTTGAGGGATCTAGTTGCGAGACGACAACCGAGAAAGAGGTGAGCTGGTGGGGATAGATGGATACAGTGAGGAGGAAAGGAGACATCTGTCTGCATCTCGTGCTCTTCTGTGTCTTGTCTGTCTGTGTGCAGACAGGCACCCACAGCAATGGGAGGCGGAGGCAGTGCCGCTTCACGCCCCTCTGTCTGGGTGCCGATGCAGGCCCTGACAAGGGCCCCGCGTATCGTTGTGGCGACACGCCCATCGTCTGAGGCGGGATGAGAGACTCTCTAGACGCCTACGTACGCAGCAGCGAGTGCACAAATGGATGGATGGGATATGCGTGGCGCTCACATGAGTGTGTGTGGTGTCTGCATGTGTGCATTCAGGCGACTTTCGCCAACGCCGAACCGAATTGGAGCACGATCTTCGTGCTGGCGTTCGGCAACCTTATGGCCCTCGACTTCCAGGTACATGTGAATGATGCACACGCAATATGCTTGTGTGCCTGCCATGTGCCCATTTCTGTGTGTTCGTGTGTGTGTGCCTGTGCTGCAGGTATCGCGACGATCGTGTTGGGTCTCTTTTGGTCGTTCGTCGGCAGAACGGCGCGGAAACTCCGTACGGGCCACACGCCCTGCAGGTACGCGAGTGTGTGGATGATGAGCGGGGTCTGTGTGTGTGCGTGTATGCGTGTGCTGAACCCTGAGGGCACCATCACAGTACGCCACTGACCGATGTCTCAATGCACACACGTCAACGCGCATGTGTGTGTGTGTGTGTGTATGGATGATGGTGTGCAGGAAGGTGCTGCTTCCCTCGCCGAGTGGGTGTTTGATCCGGTGTTCGTATCTCTGTGTGCAGAATGGCCCGCTGAAGATGTTCACCAACGAGTTCCCGCCTCTCCTCGGTCAGCACACACACACACAAGCCACCCATCCATCCATCTGTGTGTGTGTGTGTGCAGGTGCCTGGATGATGATCTCCATCGTCGCTGCATCCATGTCCACTGTCGCATCTGATAATCTCGCCAGGCAACCATACTGCTGCTGCTCACGCGAGTGACGTTGCCGCCCTGGTGGCCACTTCAGCCCTCCCAGGCGCACACACACACACTTTTCCACGTGGCTGTGTGCGTGTCGTTCTTGTGTTTGGTATGTGTGTGGATGAGTGCCCTGCTGATCGTGGCCTTCGACTGTGTGTTTGCCTTCGACTGTGTGAATGAACCAATAACGAATGTGTCTGTCGGTCTCAAAACAGACATTCACACGTTCAAAACATGAAAGCATCCGGACAGAGACAGGCAGGCGGTCGCAGGCACAGAGAGATACAAAAAGAAAGAACGAGTCAGACTACCTCAAGCACCTCCACGTCGTGCAGAGCCGTCCGCACAGCCTCTCACCTTTGTGTCCGCCTGTCACTCACTCAGTCACTCACTCAGTGACTCACTCGCGCCCCTGCGGCAGCAGCTTGTTCATCCTGGTCCATCCAATGCATTCAACACACGCAGGTGAGTGAGTGATTTTCTCTCTCTGGCAGGTCAGTGCCGTGCGCACCTACTTTGTCTCGATGGACGGCCTTGCGCTGTCGATCATCGCCACCAGGTGCGTCTTCTGCACTGGCGTGAGGTGGCGGAGCGCATCTCGGTTGGTGGAGGCGGCCGTGCGGATGTCGTCAAGATTCTTCTTCATGGCGATGACGGACTGTCGCTCCACGCTGCTGAGTACCTGATTCACTCACAGTGATTCATTAATCAATCAGTCATTGCCTCAGTGGTGAGTGTCTGCCTGTCAGTCACCTGGCGAGTCAGTGTGGCCTTGAGTGTCTCGATCTCCCTCTCGACCCGATTGATCGTCAGCTCGGAAGCCGACGGTATGGTGCGGGCCAAAGTGGTAGATGCGCCGGCTGTGGACAGCGCTCCCTTCATGACAGTCGTCAGCGGGCCTTTGACGTACGAGTTGAACTTTTGATTTTCTCTGTCTCTGTCGGCCATTGCGACACAATCGAATCAGCCGCCTCTCTCTGCCCTCTGCAGAGCCGCCGACACCCAAACCTGTACACATACACACACACATATGTATGTATATGTGTGTACACACGTGTATGTGTACAGATGCGCAAAGCCGCGTGCCCGCGGACCGGAACGAGTCGAACATCCTGCCTGCTTCATGGCGGCTGACGACGGCCGAGGCTGCCTCCCTCACCTCTCTGACCTACAGCCGCGCACACACACGCACACTTACATTCACACTCACTCGAGGCTGCCGAGTCATTCCTCACCAGCACGAAGAGTTGGTCGACGGAGGCCATGAAGAGGTCATCTGTGACGGTGGCGGTGGGATGGCGTAGCACGCTCCTCGCTTCGCTATGGATCATCGAGCAGACGGAAAGCGGCACCTGAACACACACCGACACAGTCGCACCGCACAGAATGAGAAAGCGGTGAGTGCACTCGCTTGTAGTCATGTCCACACGAGGAAGGATGGCCGTCGCAATGGGACTCCTTCCCTCCGTCTGTGTGGCGAATGCCCTACTGCCTCGCACAACAGACACCACATAGCAGAACAGACCTCAGACCATCCGCTTCCCCCTCTCTTTCTCTGATCGTGTCGTGTGTGTGTACCTTCCGTCATTTCAGCCCTGGCAGTGGCTGGTGGGTGCTCGAGTGTCCCACACACTCATAGAATCTTCACGTGGCGGGTGTCCGCGCTGCAGCGTCGGCGTTGGGAGGGATGCCATTGCGGCTCACATCGATGTGGGTGGGGCACGGCGGCCTTGGCAGTGAACAAGCCTCCCGAGGTTGCGCAGCGGACGCCGCGAGATGAGGAGGGAGGAGCAGGATCTTCAGGAGAGGAGACTTGCAGCACTTCAGGAGGCCTTCCTTCATCTTCCTTCATCGACAGTCACGTCGCGAGGAGCCGCGTTTGTCCTCCGCGATCTGAGCTCGCCAATGCCGCCGGGAAGATGAGGCCCTTTGCTGATTCTGAGGCCTCCGCAGGGTAATCAATGACGTCTGCGGCGCCCTGGGCTCACCAGAAAAGAAATCGATTCATCCGTTCGTGCGTATGCGCAGAGGAGGTCCAAATCAGTTACAGTGGCAAATTGCCAATCCTAATGTAAGACCTGTGTTGGCCTTGGACATTGATGGGCTGAGGGGCCAACGGCTCGCACGTTAATTGTTTCTGACGACCGGCCATATCAGAGAGACTGAGGGAAGCGCTGTCAAGATTCAGAACATGAATCGCGTCGCCACCCAGATGGGTGTGATCCTGGGGGAGTGAACGGTGGCATGACGTGTTATGGCTTTCTCATGTCTGTGTGTATCAAGGATGTATGTGTGTACGGGCGCATAGACGTGTTGTGGACACATGTGTCTGCATTGCTGAACGACCGTGCACGTGTACTGGTCATCGAGCTCATTTGACCGACGAGTGAGTCCCTCAGCCTATCGTTTTGGTCACGGCACGCACCTCATCACAGCTGGCGGACACAACTCAGCAACCAACGACGAATATAAAATGCAAACAGCGATGTGATGGGGCTGCATGAAGACACAAACAATGCCGACAAACAGAGACATACAATAGCAAACATCCTATGCTTTATCCACAGCTCACTCACGAGGCTGTCTCGGTCTTGCCGATATTGCCATGGGATCAGCGCCCGACCGCAAGTCAGCTGCTGGGCGCCCTTCAGACGCTCGAGCCTCCAAACCTCATCACAATATCCATACAGCACCCGCCCCCCTATCTCCTCTGTGCGATGCCATCAGCCCCTCGCCCTTACACGAATGCCCGGCAACGCCTGCGAGGGAACAGCGGACAACGCGCAAACAGACACATCTTTGGTATGGACAGCGCGCAAAGAGCCGATGCAAGCCGTGTGTGTTTCTTCTCACTTGATGATGGCGTCTGTGACTTCCCTCTCCTCCTCACACGGGTCCATCCCCCACCTTATCAGGGCCTGTGCCATGGCCAGGTCCTTCTTGGCCTCCTCGTCGCCTCCGGCCCCTCTCTCCTCCTCCCACCGGAGCCGCTTCTCCACCGCCCTCAGCAGCCATATATTATCTGCATGGCGCTCCCCTCCGTTGCCACCCTCTGCAGATCGCTGACCGCCATGGCCATGTGAGAGTTGGCGGCCGTGCGCATCTTGTGGGCTTCCTGCCTCACGGGGCCGGCGAAGTGCCGCTCATACAGCCACTCGGGGTGGCCAGCGGACTCGCGGAGGAACCACCCCTCCTGTGAGGCGGGGGGCCGACGGCTCTCGCTGCTGCTGAGCGTTGGAGGGCAGGGACATTCGCTGCTGCCCCACGGTCGGCGCAGGCGACAACTCCACCCAATTCATGGCACCACCAGCACCTGTCACACAGACACATGGACAGAGTACTATACACGTCCAACCATTCAGTAACCTGCCTGTCACATATCGCATTCATTTCTTGTCTCCCTGACCTTGTGACAGCTCCTCTGGCTCGACGATCTGCACATCGCCCGCCTTGAGCTGGTCCGAATTCTGCCTCACGCCACGACGGACCTCGTTCAAGACCTGCTCCAACTGGGCCATCTTGTCCTTGTGTCGGCGCTTAACTTGGTGGCTCTTGTTTGTTGGCGCAGGGGGCGCCTCGCCCAGGGGCAGGTGGCGGAAGAAGGCCCGCATGAACGAGTTTGGGACTCTGACTTTCTGGAAGACGAGGGTTCTCGTACTTCGAGAACCTCCAGTCCTGACTGCTGATCTGCAGATACAATTGAACACAGCACCGACAGGCAGACAGACACATAGACAGATAGACAGCCAAGATAAGTGCATCCTCCGAGTATTCATCTGTGGCGATTGCCCCGCTGCGGGCCCTCAACGCACCCCTCATATTTTTGGATAGTGTTTCTCATTCAGGGGGTCGGCCACATCGTGGAGAGGGTCGATCTTGACCACCATCGGGATGGCCAACACGGTCAGGAGGCTGATGATACTGGTCGGCTTGTTGCTGACGTGCTGCTCGCCGTTTGAGGATCTCGGCCACCTACACTTCCAGCTGCACACCAAGAGAAAACAAATGTCACCGTGGAGGGATGATGCATCCACCTCCCTTCTCTGTGTGTACGCGCAACTCACTGGCGATAGAGTACTTCCTTCTGATTGAGTCAGGGTCCGGTCTGCCGCCAGTGTCCGCCAGCTCCTCCAGTACTTGTCCAGTAGGCCGTGCAGTATGTTGAGTTGGCGGGCGCACTCGCTGAGGCTTTTCGTCTCTGACTCGCTGACCTCCGAGTCCTGCCAGCCGACCTCATGGAGGTGGGACCTGCAGACAAGGCAGGCAGCAACCCACAGGACCTGTTAGAGCTTTGATGGGCTGGTGTCAGCTGAGAATTTATCAAATGAGCTGAATTCGGCTGTAGTCGACCAGCAGAGGGATAAAGGCAATGACTATAGCAGAGGGATGAAGGCAAGCTGACGGACAGAGAATGTGTTTGTTTCATCGACCTGTCTCCATGCCTCCGGTCTTCTTTTCTAACCTGTCGCTTTCCTTGCTGTAGGGAATCCAGCGCCGCTGAAGTGAAATAAGAATGTCCACGGATATAAAATGAAGGCAGCGATACACTGCGGCTGAAGACACAAAACACACAGAGACACGGCAGCAGAGACAGAGACATCGGTCAAAGAAGCAGTATCTTCCGACGCCCATACCTCTTCCTCAGGTTAGTCGTCCTCTTGGAAAGCCGCAGCAGGTGCAGAAGGGGTCTGGAAACCAGCGGCTCCAGAGCCCCTCCCCCCTGCTGGTGACGGGCGGCCTCTGGTCGGTGTGAAAGGAGGGGCGGCTGCTGACCGTGGCGGCGGGGGTGGTCGCGGCGTGGGCCTCCTCCTCTGCCACTGCCGCCTTGGCCTCGGCCTCCCACGTCATCTCCCTCAACGCCGCCTCCATCTCGGCCTGACGAGAAGACGACCCATGGAGGAAACATCAGGTGAGAGAGACATGACTTTCTCACAAACGCAATGCACGCACCTGGTACATCTTGGCGCACTAAGGGCACAGACCACTCAGCCTGTCGAGGCACGCACCCGTGGCCTCGCCCTCCTCACAGCTCTTGGGCGATGGCGGCGCTGCATGCACCAGCTCGTACGCCCTCTTGAGCCGCTGGAAGCCCTCTTGGTGCCGCCTTTGTCGGGGTGGTGCTGCAGGGCCTTTGTGGTAGGCGTGGCGGACCAGCGTCTTGTTGTCCCACTCAGACACCCCCAGCATCTTGCAGGCACACCGCAGACGCCCTAGCTGCGCCAACAGAAGCAGCGAAGGCACGCAAATGGTATCGTAAGATGCACTCGACGCCACCCACCATTGTCGGCTGCGATCTGGGCCGGGGCTGTGCCGCGGACGGTGTCATCGTCCTGTATCTCCAGTAGGGCGACGTCAGGGTGTCCATCAGCGAGGTACTGAAAGGACAGCAGCACACATTGTTTCCGAGGCAGAATAAAGCAAATAAAGGACATGTGCAATTATGTGCTTTTTCCTCTCTATTCTGCCTTACTTGCGTGCCTTCTCGGCCGCCGGGAAAGGGAAGGAAGAAAATGTGTTTCGCGAAAGTATCTTTCTTACCAGCTTTTCTATCGGCCTCCTCTGCGCGGAGGTACGCTCTGCATCAAAATCCTCGCAGAACAGAGACCCATCCGAAGAAGTGAAGCAAATATGTCCACAGATATAAAATGAAGGCAGCGATACACTGCGGCTGAAGACACAAAACACACACAGAGACATGGCAGCAGAGACAGATAAGGACATGGAGGGAACAACACCCATACCTTCTCCTCCTCCTCTTTAGGCTGATCGCCTTGATGTCTCTTCTAGCAGCGAGAGGGACTCGTGGGGCGAGTCCGGTGCGGGGCCGATGACGGGAAAAGGGGGTTCTCAGTGCTGTGCGACGGAACAGCTGCAACCTGAGAGTGACGGGGAAGCCGACGCTGAGGCCGGGCTGCCCGACGCCGTGGACGGCTGGGCTGGGCTGGTCACCGCCTCTAGTTGCTGATATGTGCAACACGAACGAACAAAGCACATGTGTGTTGGGTGTGTGCGCATGGATGCTCCTCTCTGTGTGCTTTGAGCTGTCTGTGGAGTATGCATGTGTACCTGCTGCAGCTTGGCTACCGTGGCCTTCAGCGAGGCGTTTTCCTTCTCCAGCTCCTCCTTCTTCTCCTGTGAGACGCAGAAAGGGACAAGACAGGTATCTCTCTCTGTGCTTATGTGTGTGTGAGTGGGGGGAGAGGGGGGCTCAGCCTCTGACCTCCAGTTTGGCGGCAGCGGCGACGAGTATGTTCTGCATCCACATCACACACAAGCACACAAGCACGGAGGCAGTGCCGTGCCGTGCCGTGCGTACATGCCGACGACGCACATTCGTGTACGCACCTGGTTCGATTTGGCCTTCTCCATGTTGTTGAGCGCCTTATTCAGCCTCTCTGCGTCGGCCTGCTGCCTCTCCCGCCACTTATTCACAAGCCCTGCACGCCGCGGACCACACACAGCCACTCGTCAATAAACAACTGACCGCGACTGACAGGGAGGTATGCTGGTGTTGGGGCCTACCCTGCAGGTGCTCCTTCTCCGTCCACAGCTCCAGCAGCTGCCGGCGGTCGTAACGGGCCAGCTCTGCAACACCAGACCCACAGAACCAACACCAATTGAGGCCAACCATGTGTGCAGTGCCGTCACACACACGCAGCGCTCCCACGTAGCTAACTGCCCATCTGCCCAGCTACCTGTGCCCCCCCTCTGCGTGTATGCAACAAATTTGGCATGCGATTGAGCGAGGCTCACCTGCTGCCAGCTCGCGGTCACGTCTAACCATCTTCTCGAGCTTCTCAAGCTCGGTCTCACCGGCCCTCTCCTGGGCGTCGTCCTTCATCGTCATCATCGTTTTTGTTGCCTCCCACGTGTAACCTTGAAGACGGGAGGGGTTGGTTGAGAGTCGGTTGAGCGGGACCTCCCGCAGCGTCCGTGATGTCTTGAGCGGCTCTTGGCGCAGCGCGAAGAGCCGACCGGTATGAGCTTGCGGAAGACTAGAACTGAAACACAAGGGGACACAGTTCGACGCCGACACGGCAACAGAAAGGAACTCACTTCTTTCTCTCACCAACGTCTCGTCAACGGCGTCAAGGATTTGTTCTCCGAGGATGCAGCAGGTTGCTGCGTCGTCGGCGGATGCCTGAGGCCCCCGCCGTAACCATTCTGATTACACCACAACCACCAGAAAACAGTAGCCGCGCCTGAGGGGTGATCATTTCCTTTTTTTCCAACGTCTCGTCAACGGCTCGTCCGGACAGCAGGTTGCCGCGTCGTCGGGGCTGCATTCTGATCTCACCACAACCACCAGAAACAGCACGGCTGATTATTTCTTGAGGACACTCTCTTTGTGAATTAAAATATTTATCCTCAGCCTCCTCTGCGGGAGGTACAAACAGCACATCCGCTCTCTCGATGTCGACCCTTTACCCTCCTGCATGGGAGACTCAGGCGACACGCACAAACCAAGCGAGAATGCTGAGAGACGGCACACACGAATCGCCAACTCCTCAGTTTCGTGTGGCTGACGAACATACACTGAACATTCGCTGCGAGGCGGTCGTTGCGAAAGGAGGCTGCCCTGCACTTGGCTGGCGTCAGGGAGGCGTCAGGCCTTCCCGCTGCAGGCGGCTGCAATGAGGAAGTGGCGACCGTCTCCGTTGAGAGGGGGCCTGGGAGAGACCAAGGCGAGCCACAAAAGACAAAGACCAGCCGACAAGACGATGAAACAGAGGAGATACGGCGAGGGAAAGGCTGGAGAGCACAAATTGTGAAGAAATGTATCGTAGGCTTTAGGGTTTGTCTCCCCGTCGAGAATTCTTTCCAAATTCTCGCCGCCACTTTGATTTCTGCCCCTTTCTGGTGCTTAGCCGATAGAGTGGCTCCGCAAGAAGATGCGGGTCGAGTAATCCACCACTTGCAGCGACAGCCGTGCCTGACAAACTGAGTCCCTGGCATCCGTCCGTTCATCTCTCAACAGTTGCGTCAGTGGCGTGTCTGGCGATGGGTGACCTGAGCTGGGACGCTATGGTGGGTCAGATCCAGGCGGGCCAGAACGACCCGGTCCACTCGGATGAAGAAGGCGTGACGGCGACCGACATCGACTTCATCCTCGCTCTCGTAGAGGAGATTAGCAAACAGGTGGGAGATGACAGACAGAGAGGGAGGGAGGAATGCATCCAAGAACCTCTGGATCATTGCTGTCTGTTTGTTTGAGACTGCTCTCTCGCGCAGGTTGGGGACATGTTGAATCAGAGTGGCCGTGGCCACAGCGCCGCTGACGCCCATCCGCTGATGACGCAGTCACCCGTCAAGCTGCCCCTGGTGGACTGGGAGAGGGTATGCACCCACTAACACACCCTCGACACATCACATGGCCTGTGGTTTGCCCGAGGGTTGACGTGTGTATGTGTGTTGGTCTGTTGGTGCAGGTGAGTGAGTGTGTCGGTCGGCCGAGGGACGAATGCATGAGTGTGTTTCGCCAGTTTGCGGAGGCCACCAACGTAGACGTGCACTGGTCACGATCCGCCGCACTCGAAGGTGGGTATACGTCTGAGGCTGACTGGCAAGTATGGCGCCTGCCCGCACCATGGCCCGCCCGTGTTGTGTGCAGATGTGAGTATTCAGGTGTCGCTGAGCGATGACTCGCGCGCTGAGAGGAAGAGGCACCTCGCCGTCAAGAAACTCGCTCAGTACACACAGGTCAGCCGTCTAGTCAATGGCAAGCGATGCATAGGTGGGTGGATCCATCCATGTTTTTCCTGTCTTGTTTGATCGATCTGTGTGTGTCTGCAGAGCCGCGTCACTCGCTTCGACAGTTTCTTGCTGGACGCTGCCCAGAAGGTCATGAAAAAGGCATCCGAGGAGGGAATGGATGGCTGAGGGGAGGGGGGTCAATCGATAGGTGGAGGACACAGGGTGCAGCTGTGCGGGCCCGAGGGATGTTTGTACAGAGGGGGCGGGGCAAGTCAGTCACGTACACGATGAATGCATGCAGCTCCACACGCATACGCGTACTGACTTCATGTACAGTACAGCTGTGCCGTGTGTCCATGCATGGCCCTCCCGGCAACAGGGTTTCTCAAACCCTAAACCCCACAGAGGGGACCCCTGCACACACACCGAGATGCAGAAGAACGTGAATGAGGCCGTGTTCTTCAGTTTGCTGCAGTACCTCGACACAAGACCCATCCGAAAGCTCAAACCACAGTGAGTCAGGGAACCACCGATGGCGGATCTGCCAACCCGATGAACGTTTCCTCACTCGTGCCGCTTGCTTCGCTTCGCTGAAAGGGACTTGGAGTGCGTTTTCGACGATATTCTGAATGACGACAGCAAGCTGGAGGCCCTGCTCGGCTACCCAGATGGTGAGAGGGAGCAAGCCAGCGGATCTTTCCCACGTGCCACGCTGCCAATCATCTGTGGTGAGTGAGGCGGGGAGCTGTCAGACACGAGGAAAGGAATGCATTATGCAGTGCAATGCTTCTTTCGTGAAATGGTTGTTGTGTGTGATTGCATTGCATGCACTGCAGGCAGTCATTTTGTGGGTGATGACGTCTGTGGAGAGGCCAGGAAGGAGGCCGAGGGACTCCATGAGGGAGGCCACTTCAAGAGCGCCGGCATGGGCAGACCTTCCGAGAGGTGAGGTGAGGCGATGCACACCCTCGAGATGGGCAGTGCCACCTCTCCGAGATGCGTGTATGGTGTGTTCCACCCACCCAGGCGTGAGGATTCCGGTGCGCGTGGCGACGAGTTGATGTGGCTCAATGAGGCGTCGCTGGACCTGTTTGACCTGCGGGGACTCAAACAGATCGCACACAAGTGAGCGAACAGAAACAGAAGGCCACAGGGCCTCGCAGCACATGGGTGGGTGCGTTCGTTTCTCCAGGATCGAGTCGGTTCGACGGCGCCTCAACTCCGTGCACATGCGTCGACGACCCGCCAACGTCCCTGAGAGGGCATCTGCAGACAACAGGCCGTTGGATGAGGAGGATGGCGGCCCTTTCAGCAAGTCTGAGATTCAGCTGACAAGATACCCAGGTAACTCTCGGGCAGACAGACAGAGCGGAGCGTCCTTGCCTTGCTTGGTGGACCTCTCTCTTTCATCATTCAGGTGGTGGGTCTCGGTATGTGCGGCACCTGGACGCATCGCAAAGTGAGCTAATGGTTGAGGAGGGTTGCAGCTCAGCACTGCATGGCATACCTCTGGACAGGTGCTAAGCTACTCACTGTGTGTTGGTGCTCAGGCAACAACCGGCTTCTCACGCTTATCGTCTACCTCAACCCCGATTGGCAGACAAAGGTGAGACATCGTTTGTGAGTGTGAGTGTGTAAACGTGTGTGTGTGTGTGTCTGTGTGTGTCAGCATGGAGGCGAGCTGCGTGCCTTGACAGAGTCTGAGCAGGTCGACATCCCCCCTCTGATGGACACATTCGTGCTCTTCCGCAGCGACATGATCGAACACGAGGTGGGTGCGGTGTGGGTGCAGATCCAGGACATGGATGGATGGATGGATGGACACACACAGAAAGGAATGATGGCTGGATGGATGTGTGTGTCAGGTGCTGCCATGCTATTGTGAGAGATACGCGGTTTCGTGCTGGTTTCATGTGCACACTGACTGCATCTCTAGCGGGAAGGATGATGTGGCGTGATAGACAGATAAAGGGCGGGCGTATCTGTGGCCTTGATGGATGGTGTGTATTGTGAGTGGGAGAGCGTTCGTTTCCGTTCGGTTCTAGGAGAGTAGCACAGAGGAGGTCTTGTTTCCTGCAGTGCGTGGTGCGCAGCCCATGAGCAACAGACCCCTCCACGCCTGTCCGTCCAAGTATCCGGACACTCATTGCGTCTTGGCTTCATAAAGTGGATGTTTCTTATTCGAGTAGGGCGGGATGATTTGCTTGTGCGTCAAAGGATGGCTCTTGCCATAACCCCTGATCGATCGATCGATCAAAACACACACACACAGACAGACAGACAGACAGACAGACAGGAGGAACCAACCGTACGTACACACGACAAAGAGAGACACACGCTGAAGCCTGTGTGTCTCGCTCACTTGATGCTGTATTGGGGTGTTTCCCTCATGGTTGTGGCCCCCCTGTCTTTCTCCCGCGCGCCGACAGTGCCAGCAGCCTCCCTCTGCCCCTCACCCACCGCAACCGTCGCCAACTTGTAACGCCTCGCCACATGCGCCGGGAACACTCTGCACGTCACCAGAACAGAGAGACGTCGTTGGCCATCCATCCATCCATCCATCCATCCACGCATTCTTGGGTGTGCACCCACTGCCCGACCCATGCAAGTGTGGGTGGTCTGCTTTGGCAATCATTGTCCGCCATCTCTGCTTCATCGTCTGCCGGAACTCCGCGTCCTGCCGCATCTTATCCACCACATCCCTCAACGGCACTGTCGCCGGCCGACCAGTGAGCTGTCTCTCGGCCTCGACGAGCTCCTCGACGTTCTTGGTGCCCGCCAGTGAGGCTATCCTTGGCACCTCTGTGTTGTATGGCTCGAAGTAGGTCTGTGCTGATGGGTACAGGTAGGGATAGCCGGAGAAAAAGAAGCCGTCCGGCCCGTCCTCCTTCCTGAATGCCAGGGGGCCCTGGCCCGCCCCCTCGCCGCTCCTCTGGCCGTCCCGCGGCAGAGGATTCGCAACTTCAGGGGGCGGAATGGACTGCAAACGAATCCTCTGTGAAATGGGGTGACTGTCTGAGTGTTTGGGCGTCCACCTGTGTGCAGTGATGAAGTGGCGGGTGGCCGGAATACTTGAACTTGTGTGCATTCTTGAGAATGTTCCTGGCCGATGTCCGCAGTGTCGGTGTGTTCTGGATCTTCTCCCACCCCAGACGCACGTCCGGCTCGCGAGCACAGTAAAGCATCGAAGGCACACGATGGGACCTGAGGAGGCAGACATTTCAGAGGCACCAAGATCCATGTTTTCTTTGTATGTGACTTGAATGTTAGGGGCGTCTCGTCGATGAAGGTGTAGGGGGCTGACATTCACACACACGTGTGTGTGTCACATCAGTGTGTGTGTCACATACATTCAAGTCATATGCACACCTCGGTGATGCGGCGAGGGGGTCATCTCGTCATTCACCGGCCTTGAGTATTTCAGTGGGTAGGCCGTCAGCTTCAGCTTGTCCTTGGTCGGCTGGTAGTTAGGCCTGATCACCACAGACAAACAGGAACAAAGAAGAGAACCATGACAGGAGAACCGACCATCCCGTTCATTCTCCCCCAAAAGACTCAGTATGTGTACCATGGGTTTTCCCCCGCTGCTGCGGCCCTCCTGGCGTGCAGCCGCTCAGCATGGAGGAGTGTGGGGTCCCATTGCGCCGTCGCCGACGCCGACGCACACCGCACACCGGCAGGAGGGGCTACTGGGGGAGCAGAGGTTGGGGGAGCCTCGACAGACATAGCGGAAAAGGGGGGAGGGGGAAGGGCCCGTGGAAGTGTTGGGCCGTCGCTTCAATTCACAGACAAGGCGCCACTGACCCGGATTCTGCGCCTCAGGCTGCCGATGGCCGAACCGAGGACGAGACTGCGGGCCTCCGAGTGGGGGCCAGCTCGCGTCTCGGTGGCCATTCGATGTCGACGATACTTGGAGCTGGGCAGCGCTACATGCGCAAGGCCGCTCGCCGGCCTTTGGTGAAGAGGTCGACCACGGTCGGCCGCCTGCTGAAGCGACAAACAGACGTACACATAGCCCCACGACAGCCAAGCATGGGGTCCACAATCGCCGCAGTGCTCTGCGACCCCGATGTGTAAGAGGGGCACGCAAACACGCAAACTCGTGGCGATTGTGGGCTTGCATGTACGGGTTGTTTATGTCTGCTTCAGCTGCCGCAAGTCGGTCCATCTGCTGCTGGAGTACCCCGACAGTTCGCAGACGGCACAGATAGTGGCTGTGGCCATACTCACACTCATCATCATCTCGATATCCAGCTTCATCATCGTAAGAGAGAGAGAGAGAGAGAGAGAGAGAGACTAACACACACAGGTGGGTGATCTTCTCTCTCTTTGTGTGTGTTCTTGCGCTGTCCGTGCAGAAGACGTTGCCTGCGTTGAAGGATCGTGAGGACCTGTCGGCGTTGTGGTTCAGCTTGGAGGCGGGCACTACCGTCATTTTCACGCTCGAATTCGTGCTGCGCATCTGGGCCTGGACCTCACACGGCAACTCACACTGGGAATTTGTCGCTTGTATGGGAGAGCACAGACAGAAGACACACGCAGAGACAGACAGACAGACGGACAGACAGACGGTAGGAGGCCTCGCCCTTGCTGTCTTTGTGTCGATGTGTGGGTGCAGCTTATCTGAACTGGTTTGACCTCATTTCCATTCTGCCCTTTTACTTGGAAGTCATCCTGGGCTCGGTCAGTAAAACAGATGAGCATATGGACGTCTCTCTCCTCTCTCAAATGAAATGTCTGCGTGTGTGTGATTGTGTGCAGCTGAGTGACTCCCTGAAGGGTCTTCGTGTGCTGCGTGCCGTCCGCCTGACCCGCATATTTCGTGTCCTGAAGCTGTCGCGCTATTCGTCCGGCCTGCAGCTGATGCTCGTGAGCATCCAGGCGTCACTCGGACCCCTCAACCTCATGGTCTTCTCACTGGCACTATGTATGTATGTATCCAGACGACGAGTCTCAATGAGGCCGTGCAGGCATTCCTTTCTCGTCGGTCTGTCTGTCTGTCTGTCTGTCTGTCTGTAGGCGTGATAGTTTTCTCGAGTCTACTGTACACAGCGGAGTTTGGCCACAACACCGAGTGAGACAAAGGCCGAGGGGCCACCAAGCCACCATTGGCGGATACATGGCTCTTCTTGATCCGGTCAGGGGTTTCGAGTCGATTCCTTCCGCCATGTTCTTCTCACTCCTGACGCTCACTACAGTCGGATACGGTGTGTGCAGATGGACAAGAGACAACTGTAGAGGAGGGCACCCTGACAAGCTTGTCAGTGCCACATGTGCTGTCGTCCTTTGTGTCATTGCTGGTGTGGTTAGGCAGCCGCCTGCAGACGGACGTGGGTCGGTGCATAGCCGGAGTAGCGTCCGTCTTCGGCATCATGGTCGGGAGGTCAATACCGACCGACGCCGGGCACTTGTTTCGTCCCCTTCTCACATCACGTCTCTCTCTCTCTCTCTACGTACGTGTGTGCAGGTGATATCGATGCCCGTCGGCCTGGTGGGGTTTAAGTTCCAAATCGCCTACTGGGTGAGGCAAGCCTTCCTTGTTCCCACTCGTGTCTCCCTCCCATGTCATGTGGTTTGTTTGTTGCACCGGCCGATGGATCAGGAGATGGAGCAGCAGGTCAAGGCGATGCAAGAGGAGGCCGACTCCCACTCGCCATCCAGGCGCTTCAGAATGCCCATCCCAAAACCCAGTGTCGGCCCATCCATGCTCGGCTTCTCAGCCAGAAGCTTTGCTGGCCCCACGCCCCAACGCAAACCCCCCCACCAGCAGCTGGGGGTGCCCTCTCACCCCCCACCGCACAGGAAGCGACCGAGTGATGGCTCGAGCGACGCTGATGATGACGACGTGGTGTGGGCCGAGGGGGCGGACTCGCCCGTCGTGTCTTTGATCGCCGGGGCGCCACTTCTACCACAACACGCCACACGGCTGCCGGTTGCTCCTGACGTTGGTGTTGTGGCTGTGGCTGACCCAGAGATAGCCGATGGGCATCTCCCACACACCTCTGAACCGAAACCGCCTCCGCAAGAAGCGACCAGCCCCGCCCCCATGACGCCTGACCTGGCACACGAGGTGCGCAGAGACACGTGTACGGCAACAATGCTTTCGTCTGTGTGGATGTTGGTGTGTGAACCAGATATGTGTTCGTGTGCGTCGGCATCGCGAGGCGCTGCACGAGGGCGAGAAGCGGACTGCCGCACTCATCGCCAAACAACAGCTGTTGGCTTCAAGTGAGGGAGTGCAGATACCCTACACTCTTACAGAGAGGTGTGGGATCCATCCATGCATCCGTCTGTCTGTCTGTCTGTCTCCTGCCCACACCCCCATTTGAAGGGATTCACCTTCGTGTGCAGAAGCTGGTTGTGGCTCTCTCACAAAGCCCCCCACACATGCACTGCACGACTGACGTGTAGCTAGGGAGGAAAGCGTGTGCAGGGCAGGGAGACAGCCAGGACTGCTTTATGTAGGTCGGTAGGCAGTGGATGGATGGATGACGTCTATGGTATCCATGGCATGTAGGAAGAAGATCTGGGCTTGCCGCCGCAGCGTGCATACATCAATGTCACTCACGTACTATTCATTCAGGCTCATGAATGGAGTCGCGTCACCACCACATTGATATCGGCTTCACGAGAAGAGAGGCAACCTTAAGCAGCCACGCACCACGCAAACCACCCACCCACCCACAACCAAAGCAGGCCGGCAGGCTGTGTGTGTGTTTTGTGGCCGAGCGTCAGTCTGTCACCACCCTGGCTGGCCTATTTGGATCCCTTCTTCTTTTTGCCGGCAGTGGATGCGACAGCGGCGGGTGCCTTGTCGGCTGACTTGGCCGCCTCCTTCTCCTTGAGCACCTTCTTCACCAGCTTCTGCTCCTCTATCAGAAATGCACGCACAATCCTGACCAAGACAACCAACCAGCCAACACGCACACAGACACACACAAACAAACAGGTTGATTGACCAGCGTCTGGGTGGGTGGTTGTGAGTGTGTGTATGGTCACCCACCTGTCGCGAGTGCATATGTGGCAGAGGTTGCCGCCGTACGCCCGCGACACGCGCCTCTGCCGCTTCTTCATATACTTGAGCTCACGGGGACGGACAGCGGGGATCTACACACACACAGACAACAGGCAGCCAACAGAGCAATCAAGAGGCGTGGCGATGTCTGTGTGAGCGTGTGTAGGTCCAGATCTGGCTCGTGTCGTGCGTGTTTCCTGCGTCGTGTCTTGTCTGTGGCTTCGTTCCTTACCCCTGCGAGAGGGATGTGGCAGTTGGCTTGAGCGCACCGTGGCCTGGCGCTGCGTTTGGTGGCGAGGTGGTACGTGTTGACGCCACCCGGTGTCTTGACCACTATCTGCTTGTTGGACGGTGTGTTGTAGCGCACCTTGCGCCGGTATGTCAAACGTTGCACCATCCTGTCAACCAACGCCCCAGATCTGGCGGGAGAGCGTTCGGGAGGTGCGAGCTAAGCTACGGTTTGGCGGAGCGACATAGCCCTAGCTCTTTGTGATGGTGGAGGGTGTTTTGCGCCGAGGCAGGTCTGTACACTGTCCCATTCACTGGCCGTGTCGTATGCACATGAACACATGAAGCTGCCCGTCCCAACGAATGAACAGACAACTAAACCAAAAAGTGTCTGGCTGTCACGCACGCCCGCACGCAGAAAGGCGTCATCGTCACGTACGGGACATAAGCCACTCGACAGACACACGCGTCCATGCATAATATAAACCCATGTAGAATGGTATGACGCCGTCAGCCGATTACAGACAGACACGTACGTATAAAGGTGGCGAAAAACATCAACCAACACATTGCCGGCGTGCCCTTCGGGCAGAGGCAGGCCGAGACACGACACATCACACCAGACACCCACACCCACAGCCAGACACCTGTATGTATGTTCGTATGTATCTACATGAACAGCGATGCTGCCGACTAAAGCGCCTTCATTCCTCTCCCGGCCACCCTGTGTGTGTGTGTGTGTGTGTGTCAGTCAGCGCCCCCATAGTCGATGGACGTCAGCCACTTGGCTGTGCCGCTTGCTATCGTGACGCCAAACAAGGGGAACCAACACGACGATATGATAGACCTGACGACACACACACACAGAAAGCAATTTGCTCTGTGACATTTGCCCGTGGGCCAGCCGTCAGTGCTCTCACTCACAGTATGGGCATTGCGGGAAGGGCCATGTAGAGGTTCGTCCAGAGAGCCAGTGCCGCCACGCTGCCCGCCAGCACACACGTGCCCCTTACCACCAGCCCCCCATCCGTGTTAGCACCACTGCTGGCCAAAGACACCAGCACCACCGTCAGCCAACCGCTGCGCACATCGCATCCATGAGAGACAACAGACAACACAACGGAGTGAGTCATGAGCGACCCATGTAGCCGTCTGGTGGGTTTAAGCGTACCTAATGAGAGTGGCCGTCTGTTTGACGGCACCACCGCCACACGTCATGTGTGTGGCGACGATTATGGTCATGATGAGGCCCCCGAGCGGCACAGCCGACAGGAGCGGCCGTGTGGTGGGCGGCAGGGTAACCGTAAACACCACAAACAGCAATACCTGAGGGAACCAAGCAGCAAACACGGTCCTTCCGGCTTTCCGCTCATGTGTTTGTGCGTGCCGTGTTCACCCACCTGTATGGGCTGCCAGATGCCGCTCAACAGGAGCACATACGCCGCCAGAAAGGCGGCCTCAAACAAACAGGCCGAGGCCACACCCTCACCGTCACTAACCCCTCCCTCTGCACACTTGCCCTCCTGATCGGTGACGGCCTCCTCACTCACGCCACCCTCCAGCTCGCTCTCACTGCTGCCGTCGACCGTGTTGGCGTCGCACCACACACCAACACCAGCACCGCCCCCTCCGCCGCCCACAGGTGTCGCCGAGGCAGCCGTGTCCACCTCCCTGGTCTTGTGGTCATGCTCCCGCTTCTCCTGGGCCACCATACCCAGCGCCAGCACGCCAGCCGCTTTGGCGGGCAGCTGGCCGGTCACCGCACTCATGGGCATGCCGTCGAAGCAGCCCGTGTGCTCGAGGAAGGAATGCCAGAGCGACTGGATGGTGAGGGGTGGCGGGGCGGGCGGGGTGTCGGGCGAGATGATGCACGAGAGCAGGTCGGTGTTGGGGTGCAGGGGGGAGGGGAACAGGGCGGGGATGTCCATGGCACTCAGAGGCAGCAGACCCACCAGCAGACACTCCTGGCCCTCCTGAGATACATACATGGATCAACATCACGCACATAAAAGAGAACACGTGACCAGTCCTGACCTTCTTGACGCCTTGTGCTAGTTTCATGATGCTCTCTCGCTCGCAGTCCTTGACCATGCGCTCCCACTCAACAAAGACACCCAGCCGAGACGCGCGCCTGCATAACACACACACCACACCACGACACACCACACCACAACACAACACACACATTGGATGGATGGATGGATGGATGGACGGTGATGCGATAGGATCCGCACCATCCATCCACTATGTTGCCTTACTTACCCGACGTGACCCACACCATTGATGAGCCTCTCGGGGGTGCCGATGACAACACCGCAGTGCGTGGCCTCCCTCTTGCCCCCGCCCATCCCCCGCTGCAGGCTCATCCCACCGAAGAGGCCTTTGTTGAGTAAAGGATAGACCGCCACGCCCCAGCCGCGCGCCTCATCGAATGGTAGGGAGAGCAGGCACTCCTCGGTCGTGACGGTGTGGGCCATGATGGGCGACGCCTCGATCTGCCGCATGAGCGAGGAGCATACGTCGATAGGGCCCCATTGCAATGATCCCAGCATGGTGTGCAGCGCCTGCCCAATGAGGCGACTGGCGGCGGTCTGCGTGTCCGCGTAATTGTTGGCGTGGCGGTCCTGGTCAGTCGTCAGGTAGACGCCATCGTCAGTGGGGGTGAATCCGATGGGCACCATGTCGCGCGCCTTGCTGTGACACTTGAAGGGCTCCTGGCGAGCCGACAGGTCGCTGGGCGGCCGCAGGAAGGAGAAGAGGCGGGTCGGGGAGAATGGAGTGGTCCTGGGAATGCCCTGCAAAGCAGCACCGACACACACCAGGCAGTGTTGCACTCACTGTCTGCAGCAAGAGGTGCATGATGGATGGACGGATGGATCTTACCAGGTCTGCGTTGCGGTCGGTAATGGTGTGCTGGTGTTCGGTGGAGTGGGCCGTCGTGGATGGAGGCGGCGATTCACGGGCCTCCTTGGCCCTCGAGGGGGGCGGGACGGCCGACCCGCTCGCCATGCGCTCTACGAGCCACGCTACTATGCATAGAAGCTGGAGCAAGCCCGTCAGCATCACCTGTGGCCACACCGCACACAGAGAGAGAGGGAGAGAGGGAGAGAGAGGTATGTACGCCACAGAAATGGCAAGGAGCTCCTTTGCATGCCCTGCTGTCCTTGCGAGTACGCACCGCAGTGGTTGTCGATTTGTCCCCCGTGAGCATGTCGTTGACCACCAAGACCGCCAGTCTGGCCACCTAAACCATGAACGAGCCCAGACACATGATACACGTACAAACGAACGCCTGCAATTACGGTGTTTTCCTGTGTTCTTGGCTTGCTGCCTACCTGCCAGCCTTGTCCCCGCAAGCACGGATGCATCATCACAGATGCTGCCACCACGCAAACCCACAGGCCTATCATCCCCAGGCCTCCTCCTTCTTTGACCAAGCAGCATACTGCGACAACCGAGGAAAGTAGCGGCAGGACCAGGTGGCACGTGGCAGCATTGACAGCGGCGCAACACCAGCCCCACTGGCGCCAGCCGTGGCTTCTGACGGCACCCATCAGATGCCTACGACAGCTCCCGCCGTCCTCGGCCGCGGCGCCTTTCGATACCCTTTTGTTGCAGACAGTCTCGACGGACTTGGCTGTGTCGATGCAGCTCCCAAATCGACGCACAGCTTTCCCCGGCTTCGCTTCGATCTTTGCGAGCTCAGATGCGTGGCACCTGTCTTCGTTTCTCCTCTCTGTGAAGCAATTATGGGGTTGATGGAGCGACGGGCTTCACACTTTATGAAGAGATCTTCAGCTTGAGTGTCAAAGTGATGAGTTGGTGATGCTCACAGGGACGTGTGTCAGCTCTCGGCTTGGAGGCCCTCATCTCATCGTGTCCGCCCGCCGTGCGTCGATAAGGCCCATCGCGACGGTCGAGGCCACTCGCCACGGCAGTCCCTACCCGCCCAAAGAGGATGCCGCACCGACTCACAAGCACCGGCCGTCATCAGGGGTGGTTCAGCAGGCGGCAGCTGAGGCCCTCGCAGCTATAAGAAGGCAGCAACTGGACCAACGGGCGATCTGCTCATCTGCCGAGGAGAGCGATGCCCTGGCAGCCGCCCAGCAGCAGTCGGCCTGGCACATAGACTTACCCCCCTCTGATCTGTCCCTCGCCGAGCTGCCCGTGTGGCTGTCTGCGGCGGTTCGTGGGCTGGTGTGTCGATACTTCGCCTTCCCTGCCGGCCGGGCTCCTTTGGAGTGGCGTGAGGCGCAGCGTCACGTGTGTGTGGTGTGTGTGCGGCGTGAGGGCGACCATGAGAAGCTGGCCTCTGCGGTGGGTCGGTACCCCAACCACTGGGAGGAGGGCTCGCCTGTCGTGCGGGCACCCGCCGTCAGACGGTGAGGCAGGGAGGGGCAGGCAGTGGTAGGGGCACTCTTGTCACGTGTGGTGTTGGCTTTTCCTCTCGCTGTGCAGCGTTGCGTGGTGTGCTTTGACTGGTCCTTCATCGGTGCACATCCGCACCGCCCCCGTGAGTGCGCCGCCAGGCTGCCTGGCGGTGGCGGTGGACGGCCGGGGAGAGGTCTTGGGGTGGGGCTTCTGGAACCCGCTGTCGGTCTTTCGTGTCCGGCTCATGGCCATGGGGGCTGCCTCAAGTGCCAGCGACACAATGGACGTACACACCATGATGCACGACAAAATACGGCGGGCCAGGAACGTGCGTAAGAAATGCATACCGGCTGTGGGACATGGGAGGCAGCAGTGCAGTGCAGTGCTTGCGTGTGCATATTGTGTGCTGTTTGTTACACCTCAGCGACGGCTGTGTCTGGGTCTCCCGTGTGAGGGGGTCACCGATGCCTATCGGCTGGTCAATGTGGAGGGCGACGGGCTCTCGGGACTCTGTGTCGATGTCTACGCCCGCCACGTCGTCGTCAGGCCATCGGCGCTGTGGACAGAGATATGGCGACCGGAGATACACCACGTATGTATGTATGTATGCATGTCAGTTGACAAATCTTCACACACGGCACGGCACACACAAGGCGACACTGCGCTGCTCGTCCATCAGAGATGCACTCACTCACTCACTGCCCTGTCTGGTTGTTACATGCATGAATGACATCAGGCGCTCCGTTCCCAGCTGTCCCGTCCCCTCTCACGTGGCGATACTGATGCCCACCATGAGGGCAGCCGGCCGGCCGTGTGGTGGCGTCGCAGCATGGGCCAGCTCAAAGTGGACGGCTGGCAGCCCAAGAGAGGCGACCATACCCCAGCCGCCAACCAGGGGCCCAGCGGTGCGGACACAACACAAAGACAGACAGACAGACAGACAAGGGTGCTCATACGAATGAATGCAGATAGATGGCCGGCCATTGATGTGCGTGTGCAGGTGCGAGTGACGGGTCGCCGGTGTGTATATGTGAGGGCGGGCTGCGGTATGAGGTGTCGCCGTGGCGCGGCCAGAAGACCGGGTGGTTCATCGACATGAGGGACAACAGGCTAATGGTACATACGTACCGTACACCACTCAACACACACTCATACAGACAGAAAGAAAGGCAGCCCATGTCTCTGTGTGTCTGATATGTATGGCTGGTCAGGTGCGCGACCTGTTTTCGCGTCTATTGGATCGCATTAGTGGCGAGCACAAGAGGAGCTGGCGCGACGTCTCACAGAGGCACCACACGCAGTGGTCGGCCGTCAGGCAATGCAGAGGCCTCGACCTCTTCTCATACACAGGTAGGTAAGTAGGCACACACCAGCACCTCGCTGAGACACACATGTATCTATGTCCTGTTGGCCATTCCATCTACCACACCACCCCAGGTGGGTTTGCCCTCAACATGGCCCATGCGTACCAGCACCACCTGGCCACCGCCCAACAACAGTCATCCCGCCCCCCTCCCACCCCCATGGCTGTGTCGATCACCGCCGTCGACCACTCGCCCGAGGCCATCGCCACACTCCACCGCAACGCGCAGCTCAACGGCCTGGAGGGCCACGTGAGGGCGGTGCAGAGCGACGTCATGGAGTATGTGTGTCGGGAGGGCGAGGCGGGCGGCGTCTATGACCTGGTGGTGTGCGACCCACCCAAGAGGGCCAACGTGGGTGGCACGTCGGCATGGGAAGAGGGAGGGGGCGTGGGAGAGGCCGTCGAGCAGCTGGTGCACCTCAATGCTGCCGTCATCAAGGTACGTGTGGGTACATCATATAAAGCATTTACTTATCGTTGGTATCTTCGTTGATTCCTGCCTGTGTGTGTGTGTGTGTGGTTTGGTCAGCTGGTGAGGTCTGAGGGCCTCCTGCTGACGTGCACATGCTCACAGGTACACACAACGGGACACACTTGCAGGCGGCCCTATAAATGTGTGTGTGTGTGTGTGTGGTGGTTGCAGGTGGTCACCCACAGCGGCGCCTTCCTCGACGTGCTTAAGCTGGCCGCACAGCAAGCCAACAGACAGGCAGGCAATCAACACGGGTGTGCCACCGGGCAGCCAGCCGTCAGGGTCCGTTTGCGTCATCTGTGTGTGTTCATGTGCAGCTTTGTGTGGTGCGTGAGCTGCATGCGTCTGGGGACCATCCTCGGGACCCCTTCTATGCCGAGAGTGAATACCTCACCGGATACCTGCTCAGCGTCCGATAGCCAGGCTTTGGGCCGCGTTGATGTGTGAGTCTTGGGACGTCTGTGCATAAGCCCAGCTGATTGACAGACACATGCGTACGTGTGCTAGGAGAGAACCACCAGTGTGTGCACTTGTGCATGAGAGCCCAGCGTCGTTTTGATCCGCTCACAAATCCGATCAGTGAATGAATGGGTCTAGCGACAGTGAAGGTGTGTGCATCCTCTGTGGACTGGACAACGGAGGAGTACGAAGCGAGCAGCGGACGGTCTCACACGCACTGATGACATGGATGCGTCTGAGTGGCCTTTTCTACCCACAAACCCACCCACACGCACACATCCATCCATTCATCCAGTCGCACAACCCTCGAGCTCTTCTCATGCGTGCAGTGAAGGCATCGACACACAAAAACTCGCGGGTCATTTTACGTACGAGAGTCTCTCGGGCGGGAGCGAAGCTTCTTCAAGTGCCCTTTGTACACATCCGTCAGTCGGTCGAACCGAACAAACCTCCACTGCAGTCACCACTAGCTACCGCACGGACCGCAACAATGGGCACCTGAAGGCACAAACACACAGACGGATGACCAGACAGCCAGGAGCAGCCCAGTTCTGTGTGTGCGAATGTGTCGGTCACCCACCCATGGAAACTGCCATCTAGAAGTATACAGGCCCAAAGGGAAAGCCGAGGGGGAGGCCGACGAATCGGGGCCGCTCGCTACCTAAAGGCGTGGCGCACACATCCATGCTGCACAGCCGTGGGCGGGTCAGCAAGCGATGCACTCCTCCCTCCCTCCATCCCGCTCTGGCTGCCTTGCTCCTCCATCGCTCACTCACTCACTCGGCGGCCGTTGGACGATAAGGCGGATGGGGTCGAAGGAGCTGTCGCCCTTGCCGGCAAGTCCCTCACTGACGGGCAGGCCGACGTCGACGGTGCGCTCCTCGAGGGTGTGGACTGCAACGCCCATGTAGCTCACCGGGTGGGTATGACGGGTGCCTCTTGACCATTCTGTAGATGAGGTCAACGGTGACGTGAGCTGCCAGCCAGGCCAGCCCAGTCATGACGGTTCCCGCTGGCGAAGGGCCTTGTGAGTGGCGAAGGGGCGGCGGGAGTGGCGAGTGGGGGCGGCCGCGACGCAGTGAGGGGGGCGGGGCCGATGAACAATGATGGATCAGTAGACGGCTGCACACACACGCACAGAGAGAGAGAGAGAGAGATTGATGTCGGTGTCTGTGCTCTCTGCCTGTTTGTGTGCGGCCGGCGCTGCCGACAAACTGACCTGTGTGTTGGTGTGCAGGCATCCACACAGTCCGACAAACAGCGGGGCAAAGAAGCAGCAGCTCAGCAGGGAACCCATGAAGGGCGAGAGAGATCCAAACGAAACACGTCCCAAAGTGCGACATCAGGCAGACCCCAGACAGCCACCCGTGCGGTGTGTGCGAGATTAGTCTCCCTCTGCTGCCGCCCTTCAGATAGAGACGCACAATGGCCGACACACACAGTGCTGATGGGCCGCTGCTGGTGTCGTCACGGCAGGTCAGCAAGAGAGTAAAGCTGTGACGACAGACGGCGAACCTGCACACAGCAGAACAGCAGTGGAGAACCTCTCTGCTCTTACTTGTGTGGTGCCTCTCTGCTCTTACTTGTGTGGACGGCCAGCAAGAGAGCCGCAACAACGACCAGCACCACCTCCATCCCTCCCACTGTGTATCCAGGCGACTACGAACACGGGCGAATACTCTACTTGACGACAGATCAACCAAAACGACGATAGGCAGCGCCACATATCTGCCGACACACAGCAGCGATTGGAAAGCCGACACACCCATCCACAGCTACATGGGGATCATCGGGCATTAGATAAAGTCGCACGGCAGCTGTGCCAGGTGTGTGAATGACCGTGAGCCACCCATAGGACTGGACAGGTGAGACCACGCCTGCAGCCACAACCCATGGCCCAGCGGTACATACGCCAGAGTGTGTCAGTGTTGCGTCCTTCACCTATGTCAGTGCATCTCTTCAAATATCGTGCTCCTTGCGGCTGCCTGCACGCAGACGCACACACGGCGCCCATGCACCCCAACACACTGCAGTGCTCGAGATATGAGCTGGTCCCTGACGTATCTAGACCGTCAATGCGCATTTTTCTCCTCTCTTCTCCTTCCGAGCCTGCGAGCTTATCTGCGAGCTCTTCTTTCTTGCCTGCTGCTCATATTCAAGGACATCGACGGCAACAACGACGATGCCTTCATTCGTATATGAGCAGCAGGTCGTCCTCTGCGGGATGGCACCCGCCCTCACGCAGCTCTATCAGCAGCAACAGCAGCACCAGCACCCGCAACACCCCTCTTGCATGTGGCCGCCCCCTCCCCCTGTGCCCCTCAGGCTGACAGAGCGGACCCCCGCTCGGAGGCGGTGCAAACCGCCAGCGCGAACGCCGCGACGCACACCCCACACGCGTGGCGCTCCCTGGCGCACGCGCGTCAACCCATTCGTCTGTCCGCCTTGCCTCCGGGCTCGGCAGGACTCGTATGGTGCGACCGCGGCGCCCATCGGCGCGCATGCGCCACCTGCCATGCCGGCCCCGCCCAACACGATGCAGCAGCACCTCTACCAGCCGCCTCCCATCGCTGCATCGGGTGTTCCGGCCGCGCATGCTCCTGGCTGGGGCTTTGTTCCGCCATCCGCCTGTATGGCGCCCCACATCGGCTCATGCGCACTGGCCGCACGCAGCGCCACGCTGCAGCCATCCGCCCGCCCATCGCGAGGTCCAGGATGGTCATCCCGCCGGCTGCTGCCCCTGCCAGGGAGGGAGAGGGAAGGGAGAGGGAGATGAGGAGGGACAAGGAGGAGGAGGAGGTGATGATGGGCGAGGAGGAGGACAGCCGCAGTCTGCCAGCCACCAGCCACCAGCGGCAGCAGGAGGGAGGCGAGAGGGAGAGGAGGGAGGAGGAGGATGAGGAGGAGGAGGTGTTGATAGACGAGGAGGACAGCCGCGCCAGACCCCAAGCCCCACCCCAAGCCCCGCCCGCACCGTCACCGCCATCGCCAGCACCAGCCACGGAGGGAGAGGGGAGCTGTGGGGAGGGGAGGAGAGAGGAGAGAGAGGTGTTGATAGAGGAGGAGGACTGCCACCAGCGGCAACAGCCCATCGCAGGCCTGCCGGCAGAGGGCGACACGGAGGACGAGGGGGGGTCAGATGCGTCGTCGCCGCTGCTGCCACAAGCGAGGCTCGCCCCTGCCCCACCAACGGACACGGATGGCCCGCCCACCATCACGCCCGAGTCGCTGGATCTCTTGTCTAGTTTCCGAGCAGCCGGCCAGCACCTGCTGCAGAGTAACACGGCCTTCGCTGTCGTCGAGGGCCAGTCAGCCGGCCGCCGCCTCGTCCTCAAGTGCGCCCTGCCACAGGGCATGGGGGAGCCCCCAGCCGCTGAGCTCAGCGGCGCTCATGTGGTGCAGCTGGGCAACAAGCTGAGGCACGAGGTGGCGGTGATAAGTCGACTGGCGGCGAGAAGAGGCAGCATCGTCCCACGACTGGCGGCCTATGGGCACGTGCCGGCCGGCCATGTCTTCCCCTGGCCACAAGGGCGAGGCGAGGCAGCGCCGGGCGTCTACCCAGTGCAGTTCGTGCGGCAGCAGAGGCCATTTCGGGACACTGTTGTAGGCGTGAGGGGCTTCTTCTACCTCTCCGACTACATCAGTAAGCCTACCCACACAACACGAGGGCGGGGCACTGACCGCTTCCTACATTTCGGTATACATCTTTTTGCAGGTTTCCTCCCACCACCAGTGGCCGAGCAGCTGCGCCAGCAACTGGACTCCCGCGCATCGCCCGCCATCGACGCCGCCAGGGAGGAGTTCGACAGGGAGATGCAGTCGGAGGAGTTCACGGGCGTCCGCCTCGAAGACGCCGTCAGCCCCGCCACGCTGGCCGCTTTCTATGCGGAGAGGGGGCCGGCACTGGCTGCTCAGGCGGAGGAGGCCAGGAGGAACGCGGAGCAGCAGGCGGCCATCGATGCGGCATTGCAGGACCCTGTATGGTCGGACGCCGTGTCGCTCGCCGACCTCATCTCCACCAGGGCCGACCTGCTGCCAGACATGGACCTGCTCAACAAGACCGACAGGCTGACCACCACCCTCGAGCAGCTCGCCGTGAGTTCCCCCCACTACCGAGCCCTCGCCCTGTCCGCACTGGCCTCCCTGGCGGACATCTTCGCCTCTGGGGTGATCCACGGCGACGCCAGCGGCACCAACATTCTGGTGGAGTGGCGACCATCCAGCGATGGGGTGATGGGCGGGCATCTGGCCGACCGGTGGGTGGACCTGGAGATGTCCCAGGCCATCGCCGCGGCCGAGTCACCCCTCGAGCCCCCACCCACACACGCCAAGGACGTTGACCTGTCGCCCATCAACCCCCCGCACACGGACCCCGCCAGCAACCTCAAGTCCCTCACCAGCCTCCGCCGCACAGTGGGGCACCTCTGCAGTGGCGCCGCTCCTCCCGAGCACGGCCCCTTCAGTCGGGCCGCCGACACATACGGCCTGTGCTCGCTCCTGGTCCACCTGCTGCTGTCCCCCCACATGGACAAGGTCCTCAACCATAGGGGAAAGTTCTTCGCCCCCGACAGCCCAGCCCACCAGCAGTTCTTCACCGTCTTCTATTTCAAGGGCAAGAGCATCACTCCCGCCTTCGAGCAGTACTTCGCGGCCCCCATGGAGGAGGAGACAGCGGCGTTGCGCAAGGCCGTCGAGACGGCAGCCAGCCCCACAGCCACGCCCACCGAGCTGGCATCCCTTGCCGAGACCGCCAGCCAGCTGGTCACGCTGCAGCGGGCCGAGGACCGACACCGCTGGCTGGTGCAAATAGTCGAGAAGGCCGCCGCAGAGATCATCCAGGGCAGCTGGGACGAGGACCGGAGCAGGGACGAGGCCATACGGGTGGAGGAGCGGCAGGAGGCCGTGCGAGACCTTGAGATGGCCTCGCGGCTCATCAAGGGAGGGATGGCCCCAGACGAGAGAGATCGGCTGACTGTGGAGGAGCTGGTGGAGCAGGAGAGGATGGCGCGGGAGGACCATGAGCTGGGGAGGGCTTGAAGGCATCGCAGCCACCGACCACACCGATGTGGTGGCGGACGAGCACGGCAACAATGAGGTGATTGAGGCGGACATTGTCAACGTGGCGGACGAGCACGGCAACAATGAGGTGATTGAGGCGGACATTGTCAACGACGGCGGGCTGGTGGAGCCGGACGTTTGACAGTGGTGACAGTGGTGACAATGACGGCGAGGAGGAGGGTTTGCTCGACGGTGATGGGGAGGGTGGCGGAGAGGAGGGGTTAGGAGCCTTCAGCGAGTCGTTGCTGGGCAAGCAGACAGCGACGAGCTCAACACGGCACTAGCTGGCATCCCTCACGACGCCGCCCACATGGCGGACCCTCACGTGTGTGGGTCAGTGGCTACTGGACCAGCTGGTGCCCGAGTACTTCACGCAGACTCACAGCAACACCAAGGCGGTGCAGCGGCGGGTGGTGACAGACTTCCCCCGGCACTTCACGGTCATCCTCAACAACATGTGGGCGCGGGACCCCGGGTGTGTCCTGCGGAAACTGCTCGACACGTGCTCGACGAGAGGCGGGTGGGCCTTAACGCGGTGCTGATGCAGACGAGCACGTCGCCCTTCCTGTTTAAGCGACGGGCTCGTCCAGTGTGAGAACCTCAACCTCAACCAGTGGCTGACGCATCAGCTGCGCCATGACGTCAACGCCGCCATCGCGGGCTGCGTGGCATTCCTCAAGAGCAAGATGCCCCGGACCGAGGTGCGGGACCACGTCAAGCGGGCAGCTCATGTCGATCCTGCAGCCCTTCTCGACAGGCATCGACGTCAAGGACACCACACACAAGACAAGGAGTACAGCTCGCTCGTCGCTGCTGCCATCCAGGTACGCATACACACAGACAGACAGACAGACAGAGGGAAAGACAGAGTCGGGCTTCTCATTCATGCGTCTGTCTGTCTGTCTGCCTGTCTCAGGCTTCCCGGAGCTCTCTACGCTCTCTGCCAACCACACGGCCTCGTCCGCGGCCGCCGCAGCGCACAACGGGGAGACCGACAAGGCGCCGGAGGCGCCCAACAGCCCCCACGCTGCTGCCAACCACAACGGACCGAGAACCAGCCTGCCGCAGTCGCCATGGGCAGGAGAAGTCCAATAGACCCATGAAAACCGCGGCAGCTGAGCAAGACGCAGGCGAGCGGGGCGGGCAAGGAGAGGGCGTGGAGCTGGCGGCCGCGGCGCCCACTGGTGAGAGCACCTTCTTGCTTCCTAACCCGCATGGATTGCGTCCGGCTGACGTGCCGCTGGGGCCGCTCGAGGAGATGGAGAAGGAATCTGATCACGAGCGGCTGATAAAGGATCTGATCACGAGCGATTCCGGCACCAGCCAGCGGGAGATGGGTAGCCATGTGTTTGCGTGCTGATCCAGGGGAGCAAGTACTTCCCCAAGTATCCGACCCACGAGCTCAAGAATACCGCCACGGTATTCGGTGCTGCCTGACGTCCGCACGGTGCTCGAGGCGCTCAAGAAGTCGCCCAATCAACGCATCTTCGCCTTTGGCATCGTGGCGCTCGAAAGGGTGAGCAACACAATGCACTCACTGACCGGCCCGTGCCTGTGTCACTCGCACTCTTAAGGTGGGGATGTGTGTGTCTCTGTTTATTGCGATCTCTCAGTGTTCCGGCTCGCTGTGGTGCACACGCCTGTGGGCAAGGACCCCAGCGGCCAGATAACCCTCATGCCCATCGGCTACATCCAGGAGGTCTCCGGCCAGTACTCCCACTTCATCAGCTCGCTCTTCAGCATCTTCCCAGGCCACCTGCGCGAGCTCGTCATCGCACCCAGGGACGCACACGCACTACGTCAGCTACCTCATCGACGAGACCAGCAAAGAAAAGGCCCAGCAACGCGCTGCTGTACCGGGCGAGGGAGCGGCGCCTCCCGTCGCTGGTGGCGGCCCTCAGCCCGATATGGGTGGCACCCAGGCCTTCGCGTATGGTGTGGGAGGGCAGCTGGCCGACCCCTCGATGGACAGGGGTCGCAGGGACCGCCGTGATTGGACAAGGTACACACACAGGAGACACACACAAACACAACGGGCGAGCCTTCATTCATGTCTGCTCCTCTCGTCTGTATGTGTGTATGTCAGGTGCGGTGCCTGAGGTATCTATCGCAGGGCCCAGCGGTGATAGGGTCAGCGGCATGCCCCCGGCACCCACAGGGCCCTGCGTGGCAGGCAGGGCTGGGAGGGCTTTTGCAGTCTGCCAAAAAGTCCCGCCCCAAACGTCCCGGCGGTTTGATGCCCGGTGCGGGTACGGCTCAGCAGCCAAGCGCAGCAGGCGGCTGGTGCGATGGGAGGGTCCGGTCTTGGCAACGTGGAGATGCTGATGCATGAGCAGGAGTTGATGCGGGAGATCATCGGGCCCCCACCGCCCATCAGCGACCAGTTCGTGCAGATATTCAACACCGTCACCATAGCCAATGTCGAGCAGAAGGTAGGTCACACAGACAGACAGTGGCTGGCCCCACAACACACACACAAATGAATGGAGAAGGAAGGCATCCATCGAGATCTCTGTGTGTCGGTCGATCGATCGATCGCAGATATCTCAGGCGCGTTTTGCCTCTGCTGTAATCACCGACGATCTGTACAGTACCCACTGCTGGACTTCTACATCGTCAGCAAGCGCGCCTCCAAGGAGACCCACCTGCACGCCCTGCGACAAGCTCACCACGGGCGGCGACGGCTACCAGGCCCACCCGAAGCTCATGGATCGGGTCATCTTCCACACACAGAGTCATCTCGTCCATGCTCAGCTTCGTCGACGCCGCCGGCGACGAGACCTTCGCCTACCGCCAGTCGCTCTTGAAAGAACCTGGGTGCCTTCGTGGGCCAGCTGACCATAGCGCGCAGCCACACCATATTGGCG